GAGGGCGGCAATCCGATTATCCAGAAGGGCATCTTCCAGAAGTTCCTCAGCGACGACCTCAACCAGGCCTTCTTCAAGGTCTTCTTTGAGAAGATGAAGGACGCCCAGCAGGAGATCAAGTCCACTGTTACGGTGAACACGACGGACATTGCCGCCAAGGCTCATGAGCACAAGGCGGACACAAATCTAGAGTTGGATAAGATCTCCCGCAAGCATGGGTTGAAGAGCAATGGAGTGGTCATCACGGAGGAACTGAAGCGGGAACTCCACAATGCAGGACTGGCCACAGTGCGGGCGTATGGCAATGCCCGGAACATCCACTCGGGCGAGGAGAGCTCCTCGATCAGTGTGAACAGTCCGCTGGAGGATATACTGGCCGAGAAGCTCGAAAAGCACAAAGACAGCAAGGAGCAGCGCAATCAGCTGTCCAACAAGGTTCTCGTCATGCAGCCGATCCTCCGCTTCCTGCAGCTCCTCTGCGAGAATCACAATCCCGATATGCAGAACCTGCTGCGCAATCAGAACAACAAAACGAACAACAATCTGGTGTCCGAGACTCTGATGTTCCTCGATTGCATCTGCGGCTCGACCACCGGCGGCCTGGGTCTCCTGGGGCTCTACATCAACGAGCACAATGTGGCGCTGATCAATCAGACGCTGGAAACACTCACCGAGTACTGCCAGGGGCCGTGCCACGAAAACCAGAACTGCATTGCCACCCACGAATCGAATGGGTTGGACATCATCACGGCACTGATACTGAACAACATCAATCCGCTGGGCGAGAACCGCATGGATCTGGTACTGGAGCTAAAGAACAACGCCTCCAAGCTGCTGCTGGCTATTATGGAGAGCCGCGGCGACAGCGAGAACGCGGAGCGCATACTCTACAACATGAATCCCAAGCAGCTGGTGGAGGTGGCCTGCAAGGCCTACCACCAGGAGGAGCTCATCGATGAGCATGACGAAGCGGACGAGCCGGATGCCGCCACCGACGACGACGATGCCACTGTGAGTCCACGCGAGGTGGGCCACAACATCTATATACTCTGCCATCAGTTGGCGCAGCATAACAAGGAGCTAGCCGGCCTGCTCAAGGCCTCCGAGGATCCACAATCGGCCAGCTTCGATGCCAAGACCAGCCAGGCCCTCATGTACTATGCTACGCACACGGCGCAAATTGAGGTAAAGATCTATGAACATTTCAGGGATTATCTTCCACATCTTCGTGTACATTTTTCTTTATAGATTGTACGCAATGATCGTACGCTGGAGCAGATTGTCTTTCCCATACCCGAAATCTGCGAGTACTTGACCACGGATACGAAAATCAAAATTCTCAACACTGCCGAACGGGATGATCAGGGCTCGAAGGTGGCTGACTTTTTCGACAAGGCCGAGGAGATGTTCAACGAGATGAAATGGCAAAAGAAGCTTAGAAGTAGGCTTCCACTCCTCCCTTTCTGGGTCACCACTTAGGACCCTAGCTAATTTTGGACTCTCTTCCAGGTCAACCCTTACTGTTTTGGATCAGCAGCTACATGTCCCTGTGGAGCAACATACTCTTCAATTGTGTGGTTGTCATAAATATAATTGTGGCCCTTTTCTATCCCTTTGATAAGAGCAATACTGTACCAGGTGAGAGAATATATATATGTAGGACGAGAGATCGAGAAAGCTAGAGAGGCAGAGCGCTAGATGCTAGGTGTTTCGGTACAGTGGACAGTACAATAAGTCGAAAATAATAGAGAATTACTTTACTCATATGACCCAACAGATTCCAAAGATTAAACCATTTGAAAATCCACTTTTTGTTACTTACAGACCTGAGTCCGCACATTTCGCTGCTTTTCTGGATCATAATGCTACTCTCGTTGGTCTTTGTGATAATGCTGCCCCGTGCATCTGGCATCCGAACACTTATAGGCTCCGCCATACTGCGCTCAAACTTTTTGCTGGGACCAGAGTCAACTCTCTGTTTACTGGGCGTGGTCACGGTATGCAATCGAATACCTACATATAAGCTGTTAAAAGATATCTAATTCGTTATCCTGTTTGCAGGTCACACTCAAGAGCGTTCATATAGTCAGCATAATGGGTAACAAGGGTACACTAGAGAAGAAATTGATCAAAATAATCACCGATATGCAGTTGCTTTATCATTGCATTTATATTGCATTTTGTTTCTGTGGTCTGATTGTTCATCCATTCTTTTATTCCTTGTTGGTAAGTTGTATGATCCTTCTGCACCTTCTGCTTTTTCATCATAATTGTTCCTCTCCAGCTTTTCGATGTGGTCTACCGCGAGGAGACGCTGGTCAATGTCATCCGTTCGGTAACCCGCAATGGACGCTCGATAGTCCTGACCGCTGTACTGGCTCTGATTTTGGTGTACCTGTTCTCCATCATTGGCTACATGTTCTTTAGGGATGACTTCCTGGTTAGTGTGGACTTTGATGAGCAGGAGAACACCGGCTCCCCACTGGGCATGGCCATGCCACCAGTGACCGTCTCAGTGCCGCCAGTAGTAGAAGAGTTTTGTACGGCACCCGATGCACTGGGAAATTGTGGAGGCAGCAAACCGCTACCAGCTTCGAGCGATGTGGCTAGCAATGTCGGCAGTGCTGGCGGCGATGTGAAGGAGCGTTCCTGCGACTCTCTGGTCATGTGCATTGTGACCACACTGAATCAGGGACTGCGGAATGGCGGGGGCATTGGAGATATACTCAGGGCGCCCTCCAGCAAGGTATTCCAACTGTCATTTTGATTTATTTCTATAACACTAATGTGTTTTTTTTGTTCCTTGCAGGAGGGTCTATTTGTGGCTCGAGTAATCTACGATCTGCTGTTCTTCTTCATTGTGATCATTATCGTTTTGAACCTGATCTTTGGTGTGATCATCGATACCTTTGCCGATCTGCGATCGGAGAAACAGCAAAAGGAGGCCATATTGAAGACGACCTGCTTCGTGTGCTCCCTCAATCGATCAGCGTTCGACAACAAGACCGTCAGCTTCGAGGAGCACATAAAGAGCGAGCACAACATGTGGCACTATCTGTACTTTATTGTTCTGGTCAAGGTGAAGGACCCCACTGAATTCACTGGTCCCGAAAGCTATGTCTACGCCATGGTCAAGGCTGGCATACTCGAATGGTTTCCTCGCCTACGGGCCATGTCTCTGGCGGCGGTGGATGCGGATGGCGAGCAGATTGAGCTGCGCAGCATGCAGACCCAGCTGCTGGAGACGCAGTTGCTCATCAAGAACCTATCCACGCAGCTGCACGAGCTCAAGGATCACATGACGGAGCAACGCAAACAGAAGCAGCGCTTGGGTCTGCTCAACACAACGGCAAACAGCCTCCTGCCGTTTCAATGAATTGAATCCCGATTAGAATATAATAGAACCCTTCTTTGCACTTAATTTTGGTAAACATTCCCTATGCACGCACATAGATATGAGAACCATAAAGTATTGGCACCATGCCCAATATAACAACCTCTTCGAAACTCATTCTAAGAGGGTACACTCCTGGAGTGATACAAGATTATTTACCTCTTCGAATGATCCGAGTATCGAGTGTCCTCGAAATATACTTCTGTATTAGATTCGAATTCCAAAATCAACAAAACAAACTTGCTCAAATAACATCCCTCTAGACATAATCTTCGAAATTCTATGCAAAACCAACAACTAACTGAATAACTGAATATAACGTATAGTGAACTCACACTCAGAGAACTTAGGGCTGTTAACATGTTAATTAGTGAGCGTGTTACGCATTTTTTTCACAATTTTAGACAAGGTTTTTCTACCTTACCTCTTATACCCTAGCCTCTTATACCCTTGTTGACTCTAAAATACCTGAATGCTAGAATCTAGAATCGTAGTTAACTTGAAAATGTTCGCCGAGCGACCTCAAAAACCATTTTCCGAAAACCTTTTGCGCTGTTTTAAGTTACTTACTTTAGTTAATTGTTAATACTATATACGAATAATTTCTCATAAGTTTTGTAATACCAGAAAGCAATCGACTTGCAAATCAAATCTAAATATTGTGATTACACCTTTTTCCATTTCTATTTCGATTCCGTTCCGTTTTCATTTTTTAATGGTTTACTTAGTACTCGAAACGAGTTTGTTGGTTAAATTCATTCTAAGCTAACATCTAGATTTTGTCCTAAGTGAAACTAAACTACAGTTAAGTGCAACTTTATATCTTTACATATAAATGCATATACATAAATATCTTTTAAATAAAACTACCCGATTGATACGCTATCATCTTTAAAAAGTAGGTCTTGGGCACCAGCAACAATTTGATATTTTTGGATTTCCAGGACTTTCTCGATCCCACGCCCCGATCGTGGCACAACCAGAAGTTCGGGACGCTATATCTCGAGCAAATGGGGCCAGATCGGCGATGGACCTACTTTTCCGGGATCGCGAGGATCCTAAATTACGATTACAATAAAAGGACGATTATTTTTGATTATTTTTAGCCAACATTTTTATTATTACATATTACACTACAAAATGTGCGAGCAACTTTTTAAGTGTCGTTGGTTGCCAGCGAATAATTGAACGTTTATTTGCATTGAACTCGAATCTGGTTCTAAATAGCTTCTGGCGACCTGGCGCTTTGCCTTTCGATTGCAAATTACAACAAGTATAAAAAACGTTGTACAAAATCAGTTAAACGATCATAACATAACACTGGAAGGAAGCTGCCGTGTCGGCAAACAAACGGAACTCTTCGTTTCTTTCGTTTTTCGTATATTTACGTCCTCCTCGGCATTACGCGGGTAGACTGACAAGTATTATTTGGGTTGCGAACTTATAAATTAACATTTTACTTAATTTTAATTCTTAATAGAGTTACACATTTTCAGGATTCTTACACATATATTTTCGCATCAATGGAGTATGCTCTTTGTTGCTGTTTTCTGTCCAACGATCGTGTCGGCAAACAAACGGAACTCTTCGTTGTTTCATTCGTTTCTCGTATATCTACGTCCTCCTCGGCATCACGCGGGTAGACTGACAAGTATTATTTGGGTTGCGAACTTATAAATTAACATTTTACTTAATTTTAATTCTTAAAAGAGTTACACATTTTCAGGATTCTTACACATATATTTTCGCATCAATGGAGTATGCTCTTTGTTGTTGTTTTCTGTCCAATGATCGTGTCGGCAAACAAACGGAACTCTTCGTTGTTTCTTTCGTTTCTCGTATATTTACGTCCTCCTCGGCATCACGCGGGTAGACTGACAAGTATTATTTGGGTTGCGAACTTATAAATTAACATTTTACTTAATTTTAATTCTTAAAAGAGTTATGCATTTTCAGTATTCTTACTACGGCCACAGAAATTCGCCGAACAAGCATCGTATAATTGAATCTATGGAGCTTAAAAACTGCAAGGGCTTACATTTTCCGAGAACTATTATTGTATGCTTATTCACAGGCGATGTCTAGATGCTCCAGTGTGTCTCCGTACTTTGAAATAATGCCAGCAATATTTTCTGTGTTGCATACAGTCAATAACAATGTAAACTTTTTGAGTTTCGGACATACTGGCAAGTCCAATGGCATTTCAAAATTGATAAGTGTCAGCGACTCCAATTCAGGATATAAATAATCCTGTTTTACATCTGAGGGATACTCAAAACGGTTCGTAGTGAATTCGCGAAGCCGTGGAAGATGGGAGCATATTTCGAACATATTTCGTGCATCCTTCGATTGCACATCCAATTTTTCCAAGTGTATCAGTTTCTTTATGTGTTGCTCTGAAACAAATTTAAGGCACTCGTCAAGGAAATTCTGTTCGTATCAAGTAGTTTAAAATTCTTACCCTGGCCCATCGAAATGTTCTCCAACGTCAATTCCTTGCAGTATGGATTCACTTGCTGGAGCAGATCCGATCCGCGATAATGCAAGACATCTAAGGAAAGCTTTTCAATGCATCTCATGTTTACAACACGTTTTAACGCGTCTACATTTTCATCAGTTATCATCAAAACGGCATGCCTGAGGTTGATGCAGTTTTTTTCTATGAGCTCTCCCAGTTCGTCCATAACCTTAACACGTTGCATTGAAATATATTCAACAGTTGATCCGCATAACGACAGAATAACTCGTAGCTCGTTGTCTGTGTATCCCTCATTTGAATTTATTTCTTCACCGACGAAAAGTGACTTATACTCTCCTTTAGCGTGGTACGCAAAAACGCATCCAAGTTGCTTGTTTACTTGGGCAAATCTCAGCTTATCTTTCTCGCTGAGGTATTTAAACAGTTCTTCAGTAAATTCAAGTGGTAGATTCGGCAGCATTTTGAAGCAGAAACACGAACAAAACCCAACAGCAAAGAGAACGGGCGAGTGAATTATGTATGTATATCGATATTTTATTTGCCAGTCCGTCCGGTGGAAATAAATGTACCAGCCAGAGTCCAGTTCAGCTTCAGAAGAAAACGTTTGTCTATTTGCGGAGATTCCTGATTAAAAACTTGAAATACATACGTTTGATATTTCTCCTCTTTTTCGAGCGAGTCCGGCTAACCGCAGGTTTTTTTTTTAATTTGCGAGCTTACTTCTCTCTTGGCACCGAATACACATTCTGTCGCAATTCTCTTTCCGCTTCCCTTTTTATACCCAGCCCTACTGAGAGCGCTTTGACGCCATCTTTGATGAGAGAGAGAGAAAAACACGAAGATAGCTGAGTACTGAGTAAAATAAGACCCGAAAAGAGAGCGAATCTCATCAAGTTTCTGCACGTTTGCCTGCATACTGACACACAGATGGTCCCCGAAAGAGAGCAGATGAGGTGACGAGCGTAGAGCTGTTTCACTTTGTTGCGGTTTTCTGTCCGCTTTGACTATTCTTCCAATTCTTTTGCCGCTCTCTCATTGCTCTCAGCAACAACAACACACGCCATCTTTGATGAGAGAGAGATAGAGAGAAGAACGAAGATAGCTGAATACTGAAGCACAAGGAATCACGAACGGGACTGTACTTTTCTGCCTTTGTTTTGATTCTTTTTAGTTGGTACTCAAAGAGTTTAGGGTTATATTATATTGATGAGGATTATATTATATGGTGTGTATGTAGTAGCCAGAAGAAAGCGTTTCTGGCCCCATAAACTCTTGTTCAGCATCAATGTCCGTCTGGGTTGGCTTTCTAATTTTGTTATGCTGCGCCTTGTAAATTTCTTTGAAGTGTGCGACTTTTTAATATCCTGCACTTGTATAATAATAATTTTGATTTCTCTCTGGCGGCGGTGGATGCGGATGGCGAGCAGATTGAGCTGCGCAGCATGCAGACCCAGCTGCTGGAGACGCAGTTGCTCATCAAGAACCTATCCACGCAGCTGCACGAGCTCAAGGATCACATGACGGAGCAGCGCAAACAGAAGCAGCGCTTGGGTCTGCTCAACACAACGGCAAACAGCCTCCTGCCGTTTCAATGAATTGAATCCCGATTAGAATATAATAGAACCCTTCTTTGCACGCACATAGATATGAGAACCATAAAGTATTGGCACCATGCCCAATATAACAACCTCTTCGAAACTCATTCTAAGAGGGTACACTCCTGGAGTGATACAAGATTATTTACCTCTTCGAATGATCCGAGCATCGAGTGTCCTCGAAATATACTTCTGTATTAGATTCGAATTCCAAAAGCAACAAAACAAACTTGCTCAAATAACATCTCTCTAGACATAATCTTCGAAATTCTATGCAAAACCAACAACTAACTGAATAACTGAATATAACCAAAGACTATACAATATACAATATATATATATAGTATTGTATAGTCTTTGATATAACGTATAGTGAACTCACACTCAGAGAACTTAGGGCTGTTAACATGTTAATTAGTGAGCGTGTTACGCATTTTTTTCACAATTTTAGACAAGGTTTTTCTACCTTACCTCTTATACCCTTGTTGACTCTAAAATACCTGAATGCTAGAATCTAGAATCGTAGTTAACTTGAAAATGTTCGCCGAGCGACCTCAAAAACCATTTTCCGAAAACCTTTTGCGCTGTTTTAAGTTACTTACTTTAGTTAATTGTTAATACTATATACGAATAATTTCTCATAAGTTTTGTAATACCAGAAAGCAATCGACTTGCAAATCAAATCTAAATATTGTGATTACACCTTTTTCCATTTCTATTTCGATTCCGTTCCGTTTTCATTTTTTAATGGTTTACTTAGTACTCGAAACGAGTTTGTTGGTTAAATTCATTCTAAGCTAACATCTAGATTTTGTCCTAAGTGAAACTAAACTACAGTTAAGTGCAACTTTATATCTTTACATATAAATGCATATACATAAATATCTTTTAAATAAAACTACCCGATTGATACGCTATCATCTTTAAAAAGTAGGTCTTGGGCACCAGCAACAATTTGATATTTTTGGATTTCCAGGACTTTCTCGATCCCACGCCCCGATCGTGGCACAACCAAAAGTTCGGGACGCTATATCTCGAGCAAATGGGGCCAGATCGGCGATGGACCTACTTTTCCGGGATCGCGAGGATCCTAAATTACGATTACAATAAAAGGACGATTATTTTTGATTATTTTTAGCCAACATTTTTATTATTACATATTACACTACAAAATGTGCGAGCAACTTTTTAAGTGTCGTTGGTTGCCAGCGAATAATTGAACGTTTATTTGCATTGAACTCGAATCTGGTTCTAAATAGCTTCTGGCGACCTGGCGGCTCTTGAAAAGCTGCCGGCACACATCATTCATTCATAGTTTATTGTTACATCTGGTTTTTGTTTAATATTAAGAAAACGTTTTACATAAAATTGTTCAATGCATTTTCATGAGATTTACCGTTCTCGGTTTTAATTTGCTTGGTTTTTGCTTTTTCTTTTGTTTAATTTGTATACCTACATATTTGATGTAAATGTTTTGTATATTTGTATGTAAAGATTCATTCCATTGGTTGGTTTTTCGCTTTGCCTTTCGATTGCAAATTATAATAAGTATAAAAAACGTTGTACAAAATCAGTTAAACGATCATAACATAACACTGGAAGGAAGCTGCCGGAACGATGACGAAATTCGATAGCGAAATACATAATCAGGAAACAAAATTAATACTTGAATTTGTGGCAGCTAAAAATAGTACGAGTATAGTGAAAATCATTGTGTTTGAGAAATACTTGGAGGGCATCTTGCTCTGGGGAGGGAGTCAGTTTGGAATTCGATTTGGGGTTGGAAATGACAGATACAAAAAACGCCTCAACAGTTTTGTAATTTACGATTACCTCCTGAATATTTTATATATATATGTATGTATATTGTATGTATGCATTGTATATATAAATGTAAAAATGTTTATCCTTGTTTTTCCTATTTATCGTTACTTTACGCTGCCTTTTGTTTACTATTATTAATAATATCCATATATTTTGATTGGAAGAAAAAGTATTGGAGAAGATAAAACATATATATGTACCTATAAAGGTATATAGTAGTCAGTGTGTGTTTGTGTTTCTATAAATAAATTAGTTATTAATTAACAATATTTGTTCAATTGCTAATAGTACAATTCGTGGCATTATTATAATACAAATTAGTTTCTTTTGCGGTGAGGTTTGAAATTAATCTTCGTTTTTGTATCGTTAGAGGTACAAACGAAAAATCTCATGGCATATTTGTTTTTATATATAATTTATAACTATTTCGTGGTATGGAAAACAAAAGTAAAGAAACGTTGTCATGGGGGCTGCGTTTGGTATTGGTATTAGTTTAGTAGTTGCATAAGAAGAATTCGAGTTAAATTGCTGCATAAAAATTGCTTGCGACTAGATGTGAAGTTTGCTTCTGCTTTGCTTTCGATTTGTGTATGCATGTATATATATATATATTTAGTATATATACTAACAAATCATATATGTATAGCATATACGCATATGTAAATATAGATATATGGGATAAATTTGTTCATATTACACGTTAACTAGCGCGGCTGCTTGGGGTGGTTCTACAATGAAATAGGGAGTGAATGTCCTGCGGATCTGGACCTACAAAGAAGCTTGGACAGTTTGGCAAACTTTGAAAGCGATTTCTTGAAGGATACAGGGACATAAAAGCCAACTCTTAAAACGATATTCGAGATAAAAACAGGATTATGCATATCATCTTTTAAAAGCGAGCAGCCACGCATATCTCTATAGGTATATATGGGTTAAATATATACTTGTGTGCCCCCGAACCAGAGAGAGAGGGAGGCCCTGTTAGACAGTTGTGCCATAGGCATTGTTAAAAACGGCCCGCGAACTGTCCGTGTCCAGGGATATATCCTCGGGACTGGCCAGATCTACGCGCACATTTGAGTTGGTACGACGACGGGCGGTCTGCGCTGCGCCCCAATTGCTTAGGGTCCAATGGAAGCCAGAGGAGCCCGATGGTGGCTCTGCATCTACTTTCACCTGCGTACACACCTTTTAAAGATTCAGAGAAGTCAATAAAGCAGATCTTTAAGAAGTATGATTACTATTCTCACCTCACGATTGCCGCAGGGCAGAGTTTCTGTGCCATTGCCCAAGGCGGAGCCAGAGACAGAACCGGAGCCAGAGTCCCTTGTGCTGCCAATGCTGCTGCTGCTGGCCAGTGAATCAATGCTGGATTCGATCACCGCTCCACGATAACGCGCCACAGCCTGGACAGCCTATACAAAGGGAATGCAGGAGGATTAGTCAACTGTTGTCTACTGCTATTGTTAAGGACTGCTAACCATTGCATCACCGCCTTGGCAATCCTCAATTGATTTGAGTATCTCCCAGACCAGCTCAGAGTCCAGGGGAATGGGCTGTTCCGTGTCCCGATTGAAAATGGCAATGGCAATGTGCACGGGGTGCGGAACTGGCAGCGGTATGAGCAGATTTTCGGTCACACTCTTGTCCCCGCACTGCTGCTTCCATGGCCGCCAAGGTTTCTGGCCATCCTGCCCTGTTTTCGGTACATGCTGGGCTCGATGGGCGCGTACCCGCGGCGTGGTCAGACCCACAGACATGTCCCGCTTCTCGGGCTTGCGAAAGGTTAGCGTTATGCGGGAGCGCGGATTAAAAGCGGTCACCTCAAGGAAGGGCAGATGTACCTGCACATTGCCACGCGGGGCATACACATTGCCCAGCAGGTCCAGCCCCTTGGAGCCGATCACATCGTTGGCATTCTTCACCATCTCCGTGTAGCGCATCAAATCGAGCGAGGCATGTGGTTCTAGCTTAAAATGGGTATCATGTTCAGTCAGTGGCGTTAGGAAATCTAAACTAAATATGTCGGTATATATGAGACCAGCCAAACCCGGCCAGTCATTAACCGTGAGACCCTGTAAAATATATATTCATTTAGGGTTTGAAGTCAAAGATGAATGTAAGTTCTACTCACCTTGTTATCCCAGAATTCTTCTTCGCTAATCGACAGTCTGCCGATGACATGAGACGGATAATACTTCTCTAGTATATGGGCGGCCAACTGTATTGCAATCTAAGGGATAAAGAATCCAATCGTATGGATAAGGTCAAATCATTTTGCGTTCATTTTCGTCATAGACGTACCTTCAATTCTTTGGTATTCAACTTAATGCGCGACTTGACCTGAGTGGTTAAGGCCGTTTGCAGCTCTCGTCGCCGTTTCTCCAGCTTCTCGTGCAGCGTGCTCATTAAATCCTGCGCCTCTCGATCCAGCGACAAATACGGACCGATTTTGCTGATTTGCGCCGAGAAGGGCCCAAAGCAGGCCTCAACAAACTGCAGGAAATCCTGCTGCGGCTGCAGTACAACCCGTTCGGTGGCATGTTGATACGCCTGCAGTTCGTCCAGTTCCATTTTAGCCTCTAGCGCGGCCAGGGCCTGCTCTGGTCTGATTATAAAGTAGTAGTCCAGGGCCAGACCGGGTCCAGCAATCCGTTTCACTGCAATGCTATCGGAGGCAGGCACTCGGCCGCACTTCTTGATGAACAGATGATAGGTGAGAGAGTCCCAGACAAGCCGAAGAGTATACCGAATGACGCCAACTGGGGAAAAGAGCTTAAACGGTTAAACACCACGATCTCTTAGCGTTTAGAGAGATGTTTTACCTATAAAGACAATCCCCGCTGCAAGGGGACAGATCAGTGTAGCCACCAGAATCGCCGCCAGTGGTTGCAGCAAGCCCTGTATCAGAAGATTCCAAACTATGGCCTCCAGTAAAATGCAATAACGATTTTTCGTATTATCCGGCGCATCCAGATCATAGATGAGTATCATGTAAATGTGCAGCAGGAGCACAAATACGGGTATCCACAGCGGGGCAGTGAGGGCCAGGCCAATGCTCAGCAAACTGGCGGCCAGACAGATCAATGGAAAGGCGAATAGAATGACAATGGTGCCCAGGAAACCCTTCACAAAGTAGTTCCAAGTGCGATTCAGATTACGCGTCAATCCCTTGCCAATGAACCCTGCAAAAAATTAATTAAATAACGCTAACGATTACAAGGATTATCATACACTTACCCGTATCTGGTTCCGTCTCGAAATGCGTACGTGATTTTGATATGTGCCGCCAGAGCTCGATGAGACGCGACGCCATGGTCTGAGTGATGCTCGTCTTGCGCGGAAAAAGCGTGCCATTGATCTGCGAGAGTTCCAGGTCCGGCATGAAGGGCTTCACATAGCAGAGGGCGCGCAGTCCCAGAGGACTGCACCAGGGGACGAGTATACCGAGCAGGAACATCATATTCCACGACCAGCACCAGATGCGCTGCAACATGTTCAACAGGCGCCAGAAGGGCCAGCGCGTGCTTGTCGTGCGAATGATCTCCTTTTCGACGAGAAACACTGGCTGGCTGGGGTCGGAGCGAGGAGTTACAATGGACGTGGCATGCTGGCTGATGACAGTGGGTATCACATCCGACTGGCCCTGAAAGTTGCGGCGAATGATCCACGATTGCGGTGACCAAATGCGACAGGCCCACTGAAAACTGCGCGTGGGCGTCTTGGCGTTTTTCAGCTCCTTGAGCAGCACTGGTTCACGTTCCTTCATGAAGGCTAGATCGCGGGAGAGGAAGTACGCCGTCTGGTGAAGCTGGTGCTGGGCACACATCTTCAGCGCCTCCTCGTGGGCCGACCAGGCGCACTTGTACAGTCGGTTCTCCTCGGCGTTGCGCAGTTTGGAGCGCAGCCAGGGCGTCACGCGCGACAAAACGGAGTGATCGTTGGCCAGACACTTCTGGTGGTCCTCGCGAGTGCGCTTAATATCCTGCTGCACCTTGTCCACCGCCTTGTACATGATCACCACAGACTGGGCCTGCTGTACGAGCAACTCGGGCACTCCGGTGCCCAGCTCTGCCAGCTTGGCATTGCCCACGATGGAGCTGTACACGCGCTGCAAGTACTCCTTCATTACGGCCTCGTTGACCTCCTCTTCGATCTCCTTGTCGTTGAGCTTTTTGGCTCGCAGCTCGGCAATCAGACGCTCGCGGAAATGCAAAAACCAGCCACGCGTCTCCCTCTCCAAAATGCCAATCAGGATGGGCAAAGCCTTGCGCATGATGTCCCGACAGAACAGACGCAAATCGATTTCCTGTCCCTTGGGGGTGAGGAACAAATAGGGCACGGGCTGGCTGACCTCACAGCTATTGAAATCGAACTTTTCCATGGTGGCACGACGCAGCATTTTACGAACATACGAGCAGAGGCCATCCAGACAGTCCTCGAACTCGGGCTAGAGGTGGGAAGAGCAGAAACAATCCATTAAAATACCAATTAGACCAATCAATCGTAATCGTTTCTTACTCGACAAACCAACTCCGCGATGAGGAAACGACACCTCTCCTCCTTGATCTTGTAGTCCAAATTGTGGGCCAGCAACGCGGGCACGCCAATAAACATATCCGCCAGCTTGGTGAATGCCCCGATCAAGCCATGCACTGCATGCACAACCGAAAAGAAATGCGAGAAGATACGCGACCGAGCAGTGACCACCACAAAGCGGGCCGCCAGGGCCAGATCACTCAGAAAGGAGTCATGGGCACGCAGGCGGCCCTTCTGCAGCAGCTGCGACAGACGCCATTTGTGCACCTGACCCGGAAAATGCAGGCTCGGCACATCGAATTCGCTGTGGGAAAAGGCACGATAGAGAGCATTAGTCAGTCACATGGTTCATGGTTGAAAAGAGAAGAAGCTGAAGGCAACATAAAAACACACATAAATGAACGCTATATTAAATGACAAATTGTTGGCATGCACAAGCGTGTACCAGATTCAGATTCAGAATTATGTTTGCCCGATTCCAAGGTTTGCAAAGTGTACATACAATGTCTGTGTGTGGGAGTGGATACATATAATGGTTTATATTCCGCTGCGGGACTCGCTCCATTAAGAGCTTTACAAAATAATAATCATTATCTAAACAGGATTTCTTTAGATCCATAGAGACCGAGCGGCTCTCCAGGGTTTGTTTCTTGCATGCAAATAGATTCGCTTTTGAATCGCTTTCGTTTCAATTTGTTTCCAGCATGCACAATTTCAGAGCATTTATGTAGTAGATTATGATTAAACAGAGAACAACAGGTTAATAAAATAACATTCAGTAAATGAAAGGTAGTATGTACAAACGGAAGAACACCGACTAAACAATTGCTTAATACAAATGCTGAGGCGGGGGCTGAGGCTGAGGCAGACAGGCGGGAAGACATATACGATTTAATTATGCCTTTGCCCAGTAGTAGTAGTAGTAGATTTTTGTTCGTTGGCTTTATTGTGTTTAGTGTGTATTATTTACCCATTTTTACGTATTGTTTCCAATTGTTCCAAAGTTAATTTCTTCGGCTTTCCATATTTATCCTTTTGCAAGCTTTACAGAAATATTTCACATACAAATTGTTGTTGTCAACCGTTTTCAAGTTTGTTTAACAAAAAGGATTCGATTCAATTCGTTTCGCACATGCATTTAGTATTAGGAAAGGAAACAATAAAATTAAACACAAAACGGATAGCAGACAACCCGAATAGCTCTGTATCGTCTTTCAGTTTTTTTCTTCTTGTTTTTGGTGGATTTGGAGGCATGCCTTAATTTGATTCATTTGCGTTTGCTTTTTGTGCAAAAGTGTCGAGGAATGATAAAGGCGAATTTTTGAAGGAAATTAAGGTAACACACAATTATAATCATTTGAAGGTAAGGTGTGGGTGGGGTGGGGAGATGTGGCTTAAGCGCATAGGTTTATCAGCAATTAGCAAAACATTTTGCTGCACTTTTTGCTAGACGTGTCTTTTGCATTTTGCTTCTTATTTAGCGCTTAGTTGCGTCGTGTGTCTCTCCAACCATCATCCATCATCCATTCATCCATCAATCTATCCATCATGAGCAGCAGTAGGCTCTCGTCTGCGACCGACGACCCCAAAACTCACCCAGTTTCACGGAGCGTTTTCAATTGGGCGTTCGTCAGGCGGCGCGGCTCGCCGCTACCATCGGAGGCCACTGCATCTAGCTCGTCGAAGGGAGGCGCTATAAATAGGTCACGCAGATTAATGGGACGCGCTTTGCGACTGCTGACACTGTTCGTCGCATTACTGGCCGTCAGATTCAGGCCACTGCTGGCCAATGCTTGCGGCAGAACTGCAATTAGACACGATTAGCGTGGATCATGCACATCATTCGCATGCCTCATCTCACCGATGGGAAAACTCTTCCAATGATATAGGAATTGCTCGGCCACGCTCTTGATCTGCTGCACCAGCTGCTCTACCTCAGGCGGGGCGCCCACCAGATTGATATTGAACTCGATGGGCTCACGCTCGGGACCAGCCAGCGTTTGGGGGCGCATCAGTTGGTTGCCTGCCGAGGTACTGACAGCTGGAGCCGGCGTTGGGGCCGGGGCTGCAGCGGCCTGCAGGGACATGGGCATGCTTGTTGACCGATCGCCTCCGTTCACTCAAGTATTGCTGCGTCCATTGCGAGATCCGAAATGAGAATGCTGGAAAGAATGAACAAAATTTGTTTATTTGTGCGTGCAAAAGTTATGATTGCGGAACGTGACTACACTTCCAAGGCGTATAGATTGCTGGATCAGAAGCTGGTCGCCCCGCCACAGTAAGAATTAAGTTCAGTAAAGAAAATTACAATTTATAGAAGGGTATAACTTCATTCGGCTTGCGGCTACCACTCTTACTGGCAGGCCAAACTAATTGAAATCGCACAAACGCGCGCAATATTAAAATTAATGATCTAATTGAAAATACACTCGCGCAGCGCATGTGTAATGGCTGAGAATTGTACAAATTCCAGACAGATATAGAAGCAGAGAGAGTGCGAGAGAGGGCTCGGATCGGATGTAAACAAATGGAAATCGCGTGGAATTTTGTTTGCCTCAACTCAAACGAATTTCCCATATCACAAATTAGCCTCAGCCACCCTGCCACTCTGCCAGAAAGGCCAAACGGGTTTGACAAACTGGCTGGAAAGGTGGAGTAAAGTGATGTGGAGTGGGGGACGTTTCGCACAACTCAAATTACACCTGTCCAGAGGTAGCAGGCAGCAGCACCTACCACAACTTACGACTTAATTTCGCGCTTCGTTTACTTTAATGAGACGAACTACACGGTTGGGCTGGGGCCCTTCAAAGCCTCGTTCCACGCCCTGCAGAAGACACTAGTTAACCAACTCCCCAGCACTTCTTATTGTTTAATTGCCGCACCAGCTAGTCGTTCTATGCTGTCGTTCTCAGCTTTTACTTTCAACAGTCTTCCGTTTACCTTGTTTCATATATCAAATTGTTGTGCTTTTAGACAGTATCTGCATTTTAAAACCAAATAAAGAGCTCGCAGCCAACGTTTTTCCGTTTTTTACTTAATTCCACTTAAAACAGAACAGACAAACAAATGCAGCCAGTGTGACTGCGGATTTATTTAAAATATACCGTCCGACCCTCAGAAATATACAAAAATATACCGTCTCATTTTAAAAATATACCGTAAATATTCCTACGAAATCAAGTTCAATTATACATATTCCTCGTTTTTGATATTCCGTCCAATATTACCAGCTAGATAGAGCCCTCAGTCTTGCCCACATAGTTTTATCCGATTAATGAATCAATTTTCTACTTGACTGGCTTATTTTAAATTTTACCGAAAAGGGTCAAACAAATAAAACGTAGGAGAAATGTTGACTAACTAGAACCCTTAGCTCTGCCCACTTAATTTTACGACATTGATGAATACATTTTCTAAAATATAGCTACTTTTAAGTACTCCTTTTTATTGTATTGTGTTTAAAACAAGGTTTGAACAAAAAAAGGTCAACAAAGAACAGTGGCAACGTAAGTGAGTGGAATGTATGGACATTGTTTAGCTGAAAAGGGACATTGTGGCAAGGAAAAATCCCTCCACGAAGAGAGGATATGACAAAATAGAGAGCAATTCACAAAAAAGAGAGCAAGTCCCACCAAAATTGAGCACCAACTTAGAATTGTTCGAAAGTGAATGAGCGAATATGTTTTAAATGCTATCCATTGGAATAAATGATGCACGGAAGTACGATTTGAGAGAGCGAAAGTTAAAAAAACCTGCGTTTGGAAGTTTATATACCCCCTGTTTCGAAATATAACTAATAAAATTAAATTTAATAGATTGATGAAATTTATGATTGATTGACCGAAATAAGTCAAAAAAAAACGGTCACCATAAATACAGCAGTGTGTATATATAAATAAATACGGATAAAATATACCCTCCGATCTCAGGAATATACCGAAATAAACTGTCCCATTTTCTAAATGGAATATACCAATAAAAAAAGTGTTGTTTTTTTTATTAATAAAAAGGTAACAAAAAAGGATGCTTTTGGAAACTGGAAATTGATAGCCTGAGCATTGCCTGAGCTAATTTTGATGCTATTTTATTTTATCTTGATATAGAAATATTTGCAATTTGTACAATTTGTATAAAATATACCATAAATTCATATACATACCTTCACCTCAATTTCGGCGTCAAAATATACCGAAAATATAATATACTGCAAACGGTCACCCTGGTGCTAACGTTTCGTTGATTGAACGAGCTTAGCCCACATGACCTCTTGACCCCTCTAACTATTTAAACAAGTGAACAACTAAAGTAAAACGGCGGAAAATAATATTGCTTGTATTATTCGTACAGATGGATCCGTATAGATCCTTCCTTTCAACTGCACTCAAATTCATCATAGTTCATAAGTTTCATCATTTTCTACAATGGGTTAATCGTTATCTGTCCATGATAGGACTGGATAACCGCTAGAGCTGCGCGCCAAAGTTGAAAGAGATGATTCGTAAAGCATTGATTTGATTGGCCAGCTCCGCCTCTAAGTTGGCCATCAATTCGACTCTGGCCTCCTTAATCATCAGTCACTTTCCAGTTCCCTTAGGTTTCAGTGAAACTGATCTTCATCTGTCGTCATCCTCATCGAATCCGTTTTGAAGGCACTAAGTCCAAAGCATTTACATATGTTTGGTATGCATGTTTTTCTTTGGTTAGCGGGAATTGTTCGTCAGGCTTTAGTAGACAATTCCGCGCAGCTGCCTCCTGACTAAATCCCGAAAGGAACACTTTGAAAATGGAATGAAGAATGACATGACATGACATGTCATGACTCTGCTATAACTCGAAGGTGAATCATTCGATTGTCAGGCTAAGTCGATTGGTTATATGAGAAATCTAAGTCCAATCACGTTTTTTCTGCTCGGGACTTAAAAGCCAAATAGGATTATTTTAATTAACGTAATTATGATCTGTATAATATATATGTAGACAAATAATTTATATTAATTCAACTTAAAAGGACTTGCTATTTTTTTAGTGTTGATAATTCATTAAGGGTTCTGTTCCTGACCGCCTGTCTGCTGACCAAATAATTAAGTTAGCGAACAAAATTACGAATTTGGTAGATAACTATGCCAATCAGCAGCACAACGATTAGCACCTGTACAATTTTTTGCCATCAGGAGCGTAAATCCGTGAGTGGAACATACATCACCCCCATAAGACGCGTCATCTCTACTTTACCATTTTTGTCCTTATCGTACTGAAAAAAATAAGGTTAGGCGTCGAACAATATAGAATATTAAATGACCAACTTGCTGCATGTACTGCGAGCCGCCCTCGGGTCCAACTGGCACTATCAGGCGGCCTCCGTTGGCCAGTTGATTGATGAGTTCGGTGGGCGTATCGGGAGCAGCGGCTCCCACATGTATGGCGTTGTACGGCGCATGTGCCGGGTATCCTTTGCGTCCATCGCCCTGCACAATTTTTAGCGTTCCAGAGTCGAGCATGCTACGATCGTCGGAATTTAAATTGGCCTTGCTCATTGCCACTAACGAGGCCTGGTGCTCGATGCCCACAATGCAGGTGTCAGCAATCTCCCCCATCGCTTTGATGTAGCGATAGAAGCAGGCGGTTAGGTAACCCGAACCAGAGCCGACGTCCAGCACATGAGCACCTGGCTTCAAATGATCGCGCAAATATTCCAATGCAAAGGCGTGCTATGCGAAGAGTGCAAGAAACCCCTTAGTATCAAATCCAAAACCCAGCAGACACTTGTTACCATATGTGGTGCGCTAATAGTCACTCCGCCCCCAATTGGTTGAGGCGCATCCATGTAGGGGTTGCGTGGGGAATAGTGTTTTCGATCCGTATCAATCATTGCCTTTGCCACTGCGTCGGATCCAATGACGCCGTACTCTGTGCATTTTGGAAACCAATTATTTTTTGTGCCACTCGTGCCAAAATGCCACTCACCTTTCAATTGGCGTATAAGATCCTGATTGCTAGCACCAACAGAACGCCAGGCCATGCTTATAGCTCGGACAAACAGTCCCAGTTTAATAATTTCAACCACAAATAACTTTAGTCCCCGCAGCTTGCCTTTGTTTTTGTTCGAAATCGCAAATACAGAAGCATCAGCTGTCAGCTTGTCTCTATTCAATTTAATGGCCATATGACATTAGGTTTTGCTTGTATGACATTAGGCTTTGATGAATTGGCTGTGAGGAGAGAAATAGCTTGATAGACAAAACGAAAAATTGTTGACTGAGGGAAAATGTGCAAATATACATATAATAATCTTTAAAATATACTTTAAGCTAATTTTATTAATAACTCAACTTTGTACATGTGTAATCACAAATTCTGAGTTATTGAGTGAACACAACTACGTAACCCATGTCAGTGTAAACAGACAGACAGCGTTCTGTCTCTTATGAATTTCCAACCGTTAAAAAGGTAAACCCAACGGGAAATGTATGTTATGTTCATATTCAGGAGGTGTAGCAGATTCAGAATGTTATTCGGCGAAAATTGGACCTTGGATGGTATACCATTCAAGTTGAGGCATTTTAATAGCCGAAAGCTGGAGACATTCGGACAGCCGCTAAGGCTTCCGGACATTGCCGCGGCCGTTTCCTGCTATTCAGCAGGGTACTTGCAATGTTGGTCTAGTTTTGAAATTGGTATTGATAAGTTAGTTTTAATATGTATTTGATATACACCACTTACATATAATATATCCATATAAAGTTTGTTTTTCATGTGTTGGGTTTAAATATACCGCCACATTACATATACTAATAGAACTTGAATACGTCAGTATATTTACGGTATGTTTTGGTATATTTCTGAGGGTCTGACGGTAAATTTTAGCGATAAGTCCGCAGCACACTGATTGCATATTTTGTTGTTTATAGTTTGTTGAAATGTCAAACGTCGGGAAAATTCGGCTTAAATCCCTTGTTGAGCTACAAGCCACAACAAAAATAAATGAAGCCTTAGGGAAATCAGTCAGTCAATCAATCGACGTCGGAGAGAAAACCCCTGAGAAGAAAAACCCGGGAAAATCAACTGGTGCTACAACCACGAGGAAAAACAAACCGAAAGTTGTTCAAAAAGCGGCTTCGATTATAGCAAATACTACTATTAAACGTTCGTCTAAGAAAACGCCACTTCCTGGGCAGTTGCGCATCGATTCCTTCTTCAAAAGCAGCGCGAAAAGCCTCAAGATGGAGAACAAACCGCATACATCTCGGATAGGGATAGTTCCCAAGACAGCCAACAAGAAGCCAGCTCCAAAGTCGAACAAAGGACGCAAGCGCTTGTTCGACGAGGCGGCCACCACATCAACAACGACCACAGACGGATCAGACATGGAACATCTCACCAAGCGTGTCCAGCCGCCACGCAAAGCAAGGGGCAAGGAGAACACAAGTATGACCGACGCGAATGTCATTGATCTCTGCTCGGATTCGGAGTCTGAGGACTCGGACGATTTGAGAAACTTCAAATTAGAACCACCAACAGAATGCAAAACTCCCAAGACTGGGGATATTAAAGGAAATCAGCTCAGCCCACGGATAGTGAACGAAGCATGTCCGTCCTCGCCAATGGTTTCGATTCCCAGTGAACTCCTCCTTGGAGATGTTTCCATTAAGGAAAATCTGCTCAGTCAGTCCTCACGCTCCACCACAGTGGCTCCCCACGAAAGTCCCAGTACAAATGCTTCGCCCAAGAAAAAGGTTGCGTCAGTTTCAACCGTTGTTTCTAATCGCAATAAAAGGGCCAATAGAAGGGGTGTCCTGGCAGCAGGTACGTCACCGCCAATTCCCAATAAAAAAGGTTTCCTTGCTTCACTGTCAGTTCCGAATGAACCTGGAAACCCAGACACTTCGTCCGAGAAAATTGTGTCCAATGGACGTAAGCAGAGGACGCCCAAACCATGTCCGCCCTATAAAGTTGTTGAGGGCACACACTTTTGTGTCGATGGCTTCCAGTTTGGAGTCATACCAGGCGTGACTCATTATTTCCTAACCCACTTTCATGCGGATCATTATATTGGTCTGACGAAGAAGTTTGCATTTCCACTGTTCATGAGTCCCCTAACGGCTCGCCTGGTGCGAGCATTCATAAAAATAGATGAGATGTACATCCATGAGATTGATGTGGATCAGACCATTCTAGTGGACAACATCCAGATCACCGGCATAGAGGCAAATCATTGTCCGGGAGCCCTTATGTTCTTCTTCAAGATGTCTTCAGGTGAATGCATTCTCCACACGGGTGATTTTCGTGCCAGCTTCGAAATGGAATCGCTACCGATATTTTGGAACAACATCGATATAGATCTGCTCTATTTGGACACCACATATCTCAGTGGGAACTATGATTTTTGCCACCAGACCGAAAGTGTCGATAGAGCGGTGTATATGGTGCAGAAATTCCATGAAAGGTATCCAGGAAAACGCATACTCTATGTGTGTGGCTCCTATGTTATAGGAAAAGAAAAGATTTGGCTGGCTTTGGCCGAAAAATTCTCGTTGACTGTCTGGACAGAGGCACATCGTCGCATTGCCATCGATTGTCTGGAGTGGCCTGACCTCCAATCGCGACTGAATGACGATCCATACCAAGCCAATTTGCATGTTATAGGCATGGGAAAAGTTACCTATTTGGTAAGACAGAATACCCTTAGATAAACATTCGCTAACTTTACGTTTCGCATTTCCAGGTTTTGGCAGAGTATTTTAAGCAATTCGAAGATCAATACGACATGCTACTGGCCATTCGTCCTAGTGGCTGGGAGAAGAACAGCAAGCCCTCCTATGGGAAGCGCATCAGCATAATTGGCATTGAGTACTCGGAGCATTCCAGCTACAAGGAGCTCGAGCGCTTTGTGCGTTTCATTAAGCCCAGGCGGATTATCAGCACTGTTCCGGTGGGCAGGGATCTATTCGTAACTGGAAAGGTGCCAGCCAAATGGTATCAGTTCAAGGGACATCTTTCTCTGATGACCAGAGGATATCAACCATCAATATCGACGTTTCTGGCCACACCAAATCGTAAAAAGCCGCCATCAAGAACTGAAATGGCACTGAGTCCAGTGGACGAAAACAAAACTGATTGGGAAACTACTGTCCAAGATCATGTGACCATTTCATCTAGCAATTCGGAAAATAGCACTATCATCGAAGGAATTCAGAATAAAGAATCTCATGGTGATGGCAGCGATGTGCCGCTGCACAAGAGCGAAAGTCCGGTCAAGTCTAAGCCCAGTACAGATGAAGAAGCCTTACTCAACAGACTTACATCTGATGCTTCCGATGACTGGCTGGCGGATTCATAGAAATATCTCGCCCCATCTTTAATCATTTTTAATTTTGTTTGTAAATAAGTAATAGTTTGCCTGTTAAAACCTGTTACCATTCTCAGGCTAGTTTTGTTAATTCAAGGACCCTTATAGAGTACAAAGTATGTGGAGCTTACACTTTCTTTTATATATTTCCAACTTGTTATTATATATGTATACATTCCACTAAATCCACCTTAATATTCAAATAGTTATTCTGTGTGCAAGCTGCTACCTCACTACTCCATGTACATTCTACAATAAATTAAATTATAGTTTATATAAAGAAACAACTAAATGTAGTATATAAGTATAAGTATAAATGTGAATAACAATCAACATAGGCCATTTGGGTAGGCTAAAATTATTCAATGCTAAAGAATGAATGAGTTTTGATTACTTTTTCACTGATATGTTCGATGCAAGTGTGGGATAAATTATATGAAAAATCGCATATACATCGTTTAAGTTTTTTTTTTTTGGAATGGCCTTCGTTCAGAATTATGATAGAATTCTCGTTTTTATTTTAATGCACACACCACACCTCATTTGACTATACAAACACTTGAAGGAATCAAAACAAAAGGGGAAACATAACGATGATATAATCGTGGTGCAAGGATAACAAGGAATATTATGAGGTGTAAATTAGCTTTTGCGGGTTCCTCTCGAATGACTAAATTAAACACTTTTGACGATAAACTAGACAACAAAGAAGCGCATAGACACAATGACGAGGCAACAGACTCGGCCCCTGATTTGGTTTTTTGGTGGGTGGGGTTTAGGCTAGGCATCAATCCAATGGCCATTTAACTGCATGAAAGAACGAATAGGTTAGCATATAGAGTATATAGTATATAGTTTATAACCATCTGCTTACCACCAGGAGAAGAAGGGACTCTTGTTCTGGAAGCGCTGCGTAAACGAAAAGAACCGACTGCCGCTGGATCTATGTGGATACAACAATTATTCAATAACGTGCGTCTTTAAACAGTATTAAACCACTCACCGCTCCACAATCACGGCTGGCATCTGGACCAGCTGCACGGGGGATTTGCCATCCCTCAGTGCCTGGGTCAAGTTCAATATCTGGCCACGCATCACAGACATCTGACGCTCGAACAGCCGCTTATCAAATCCCCGATCCTGCTGGAACAGATACAGCAGCTCTGTGCAGATTTCCTCCACGAAATTCATGTCCGACAGTTGCGGCAGAACATGTTCCTTGATCTCCTCGCTGAAGGGTATCTTGGCCTGGGGCAGCCAGGCCCAGTGGTAGGGATAGGCGCGCCATGAATCGGGATGCTTGAAGGGAAAGGCCAGGCCATTGTCAATGGCTGCGATTTTGATAAAGGCCGTGTCCACCATATTCCAGTTATTCTCCGATGTGGGGGATATATTCTTGGTACTCGTGGTGGGTAGCTCCTCCTCGCTGCTGGCCAAACTGGTAACGTCTGTCTGGCCATTCTCTTTTGGGGATTGGGGATCCGTGCCCCCAGCCGAGCGCAACAGGTCATCGGGTGGCGATTCATTTAGATCGACAATTTGCTGGCCCACTGCTTCGGGCATTTTTGGTAGAACAACGCCCATCATCTTGCCCCCAGTGCCGCCTATCTGGGTCCTAACCCTGGGGGCCTGGTACTTGATCAGCCAATTGTCGTTGCCACGATCCGTGTTGCGTATGATGTAGTCCAGGACGACAAGTCGCTCAAACTCCAGCTGAAACGATTTGGCTACGCCCGGTGCTATCCGTTCGCTCTCGAATCGTCGCAGCCAATAGTCTGCATCCTTGTAGCCCTCCACAAACAGTTGAAAGGAGCCAGTCTGCAAGGGGAAATCATAAGCAAAAGTAGCGGGGAACAGGGCAAGAGATTCACCTTCAGGGGCAGACTCATTCGATTGAAGTGGGCCGACGGATAGTGCTCCTTAATACGCTTCTTCAGCTTGGCCTTCTGTCTATCGAGGCGGGCATAGTTGAAGCTTTCGGCGACCAGACGAACCACACGCGTCTTTGGCACCACATTCAGATTGAGTTTTCGATCCACTAGACTGGCTCCGGCCTCCGATAGATAGCTGCGCAACAGTGCATAAAAGTTAGTATAATGATCAGGGATATGTGGTATTATATGATGTTACCCCTGATTTGGTATCAGGCAGGCACGTCCAAAGCAGCAGGGACAGCAGAGCTTGTGCATCCATTTGGTCCATTTTGGATTCAGTCGGCCATAGGGTTCCTCATCCTTTGGCTTGAACACAGCCAGGCATTGCTGAAAAGCATAAAATGTTCAATCAATATCTGTCTTTAAAGAAACCCTGACAAGGAGATACTGTATCTGGGTAAACCAAAAGTTCTGCAAAATAACTAAATTGCAAGGACTTCCCCGTTTGCCAGAATCTTTAATTTATGCGTTTATTATAATTTGGGTTGCAGGGCCCACAACTTTTTAGGCCAGAACCCTTGCGAAACGCAATTCTAATTCTATAATTGTATATTCCACTTACATGTTCGGGATCCTTCACGAAATAGGAACCACTGCTGCCCTGATAAATGCGCTCGGGCAGCACACCCTGATCGATGGCCACCTCTGCCTGGGCCACAATCTCCGAGAACATAGGATCATCTATGGGTTTAAATGGGAATTATATTATTATTGAATGCTTCAATGGTATAAGGTATAAAATTACTAATGAAATTTGTGCGAAGTACGAAGACTCGCATTTCGCAGAAAGCAGCCTGCTACTTTCTCAGGACAAATTGTTAAATAATTAATTAATCAAGTTATATGAAGGCCCAGTCGATTGGATTAAATGAGGGTTTACTCGTCGTGGGGTTTGCGTGCCAGCTGTCGGATAAAAATAACTAAACCAAAAGAGCCGGCAGACACTGCGTAGAAGACCATTCTACTTGAAAAACACAGAACGACTGAGACCCGAAGCCGAAAAACAACATTTATCAAAGAGGGATCCACTACCTATAAAGTCAAAATTCTCGTTGAAGTCCCCCTGGGCATCCTGGCAAATGGTGAACACTTCCCGAATGAAATTCTCGCCACGGAAGCTCGACAAACGCGACATTTTTTGAACTGCACAATGAAAAGTGGAGTGGAAGTCGCAACAGAGTCAAGAGTCATTGATAAATGGACACAAAACAGGTGGCAATTAGCATGGCGAAAGCGTTTCGATAAGGCTCACTCGGTTGGTGGCCCACTTACACATGTTCTTCAGCGGGCAATTGGCGCACTGGCAGCGGGGGCGTGCTATACGAACGGTGACTGTGTCATTGGAGCCGGCTACCATCGAAGGGGCGTTTATTATGAATGGCGGCTCCCCCTCTGCGTCCGAGGGCGACTCAAGAAAGTCCTTCTCCGGCGCATGGCACTTCTGGACCTCAGAGCACATGCAGACATAGCTCAGGGACTTGGAGTCCACCGATGGCCGCGTACTGTCGTATTTGGCCAGAGCTGCCTTGCTCGTCGACGGCTGTTCATCACTCAGTGCACTCTGGCGATGACCATCGGGATCAGGGGGTTCCTTCTGATCATCGTTTTTCATTGTTGGGCATTCTCTTTGTTGCTCTCTCTATGTCCCGTCGGCCAGTCCAGGAATCATTAGAGCAAGTCCCATTTTCATATACGCTTGTTATTTTTTGTGCAACACTCCTCCACACACCACAGATTACAATCGTTTCGGTAATACAGACCCACAGTGTTTACAGGACTAAGAATTTGTTGGTACATAAAAACGAGAAACGAGAAATTTTTGACAAAATACGAGTATGTTGATCAAATATTATGAAAAACAACTCATTCTCTGTGTTTAGCCGAACCCTAAAAGGCAGCGTTTATGTGGCATAGCTAGCACACAATTTCATTCTAGTGCCCTGGAATGCAATACTGAAAAAATGTCCGTAAAACTTATCTCTCAATGGTAGATGTCTGTCCCGGAGTAGGTAAAGCTGCTCTTAAACGAACTTGGAATACTCTTATGACAGTCTTAGATCATTTAAACCTTGGAGGATGCTTGGAAAATTCATGGAAAGGGTCTCCTCAAGCCTCAAGCTTGTTTTTCTAGAAATATTCTTCAATGGAAGAAGTTTTCTCAAGCATCAAAATGCTTTTTCTATAAATATTTTTCAATGCAAAGGATCTCCTCAACCTTCAAGCTGCTTTTTCGATAAATATTCTTCATTCTCTCCGAATGAAGTTGACAATAAAAGATATTTTATATTCACAAAGCTGTAGTTTCCCAAAATACCACAATTGTATACCTATTTGTGAGGGTATTCACATTATGTGGTTGGCACTATAAGTGATAAGAGTAGCATGAGTAAAGCCGCGGCTTAGCTAACGCAAATAAAGAATGAAATGGAGTCATCACATTGATATATACATACACATGCCCTCATGTATATATAATCGTATGCATACAGAAAGAGAGTCGTAATGGAAGCCCCACAGATGGATGGATGGATGGATGGATTGGTCACTTGTATGACTTCTTCGCTTGTGATTGTGATTCTGCACTGTTGGCTGCACTTACCTCCAAATGTATTCGATATAAAGTCAACATGATCGTGTCCACGGCCCAGACCTCCTAGCAGATCACTAATGCGACTTCCGTGACTGGCACTGCCGCCTCCGAGTAGTGGCTGGGATTCCCGATTATCGCTTCCCGCGTCCGTGGACATGCCCTCAAAGTCGATTTCTGGCACCAGGCAAATATCGTCGGCCTCGTCGTGCGGGTGACGTCCAATGGCAATGTGCGTTGCAGATTTCAGAGGAGAGGATGGTGCTGATGCTGTCGCCTTTGTTGTTGCAATGTGACTAATCACCTGTGGCTGTGGCGTGGCACTAGAGCTCCGGCTCTCACTGCTCTCCTCAGAGTGATTTTTGAATTTTGCTCTACCGTTGACGGTGCCATTGCGCAGGGCGGCGCTCGCAACGTTGCCCGACGGGTTTCGGCTGAGTAGAACTTCCACTTCGTCGTCGTCGTCATCGTCGTCATCGTCGCCGCCATCTGTGTTGATGTCGTCGCTCAAGATAAGCAACTGATCCAGCTGCGGTTTCTGATGGACCGGCACCGCCGCATCCCCAGCGCCTTTCACATCATCTTCATCTTCAGCGTTGTCGTCGTCGCCTACTGACAGAAGCATCGGCTCACGTTCCTTCTTCACCTTCTTCTTGGATTTTCGCTTCCCAACTCCAATTGTGTTAATCTGCGGAGTGTATGTCATTATAATATAGTATGGGAGGGGCAGGGCTGGCTTCAAGGTTCACTTACCTCAACTTTTGTGGTCAACTGGGTAACATTGTTTGTGCTGGAGGCGAAACCATTGAGGAGTGGGGCTACGGATTGGTCCTTGACAAAGTCTCCGATGAGATCCTCCTCATCCTCGAGCTGCAGCAGCGGCGGATCCGCCTTATCCAGTGCATGGCTCATGGCTGAAGTGGGCGGGGGGAGGGCTTAGAGGCACGTTTGTGGGGGGTGGCTGGGTGCCGAAGGGAATTCGAATTTTCGTGGCAGACACAACAACAAAGGGCCCGCGCTGTTGTTGCTGCTGCTTCTGCTTCTGCTCGGTTCTGTCTGTCTCTTTTCGGGCGTACGCTTTGTTATCTCCACCGCTCCGTATGCATGTTCTCGAACAATATGCTTCTATTATTCAAGCTGAAAGTCGATTATTTCATTATTTTTTAATTGTTGTCGCAATATTTGTAGTTGTTTTTTTTGGCAAATATCGATTTTCAGTTCATTTCAGCTGCTTTTTTGCCAAACTTTAATAATTTTTATCATTTCCTATCAAACAATAATTTTGATTTGGCACTGTCACTTTTTCGGAAAAACTTACTCACCATGCAAACGAAAACAGAAACTAAATTACGCGTTGAATTGAATTTTTCTAAGAACACGAAAGCGAAAAAGTGCTATTAGTGCTGACACTCTGTGGCATCAGAACAGCTGATTGCAGCGTTGCCAGAGTGCTGTTATTAGAACAAAGCAAATTCTTGTACGTTTTGGAAAGGGGTGTTCTTGTAAATAACTTTATTCTTAATAATACAATTGATTGCATGCTCAAGGGGTTTGCATTGCATCTATTGCTGCAGTACACTCTGCCGTAGTTTGGAGATCCAGCACAAAACATCTGTCAGCTGCCTCTGGAGATTAGTGCTCTCCGCAACGAGCTCGATGCAATCCCTGAACTTGGTCACTGCATGGCGTAAACTCATGGGCGGCAGAACCCTGTAAGAGAAACATAATGTAATTATGTGTACATGGAAGGTGCCAATGTGCATCATTGCCCATAATCAATCATTCTACTTACGAGAACCAATGCAGGGGCTCCACGTAACCATTGGCCTTATCCACCGCATGCCGCTCGATGTTGATCTCATTCTCGTCTTTGGCCTTTATGACCCTGCAAAGGGCATTGAATTCGGCACTGTTCTCCGTTGGGATCTGCGCCTTGGAAACGGAATTACTTCCTCCAGCCTGAAATCTCGTCCTGGCCAGAAGTATGGCTCCGCTGGCGTTGGCTCTCTCCAAATTCACTTTACACTGAGTATGCTCTTCGATTAAATGGAACAAGTCCAGGTACATGGCATCCAGCAGCTGGCCAGCAGCCTCTTTTTCTACTTTTTCAGCCACCATATCAATTGTTTTACAGGAATATCTGGTGTGTAATGTTTACTGGAGCGAGAAAACAATTCCAGTCATATGATCAAGTTGGCCCAGGTTGGCAGCCCCAATAGATAAAAGCGCGCCATGAATCAGGATGCTTGAAGGGAAAGGCCAGGCCATTGTCAATGGCTGCGATTTTGATAAAGGCCGTGTCCACCATATTCCAGTTATTCTCCGATCTGTGGGATATATTCTTGGTACTCGTGGTGGGTAGCTCCTCCTCGCTGCTGGCCAAACTGGTAACGTCTGTCTGGCCATTCTCTTTTGGGGATTGGGGGTCCGTGCCCCCTGCCGAACGCAGAGGTGGCGCAGGGGGAAAACATGAGTAAAAGTAGCAGGGAACAGGGCAGGAGATTCACCTTCAGGGGCTGACTCATTCGATTGAAGTGGGCCGACGGATAGTGCTCCTTAATACGCTTCTTCAGCTTTGCCTTCTGTCTATGGAGGCGGGCATAGTTGAAGCTTTCGGCGACCAGACGAACCACACGCGTCTTTGGCACCACATTCAGATTGAGGTTTCGATCCACTAGACTGGCTCCGGCCTCCGATAGATAGCTGCGCAACAGTGCATAAAAGTTAGTATAATGATCAGGGATATGTGGTATTATATGATGTTACCCCTGATTTTGTATCAGGCAGGCACGTCCAAAGCAGCAGGGACAGCAGAGCTTGTGCATCCATTTGGTCCATTTTGGATTCAGTCGGCCATAGGGTTCCTCATCCTTTGGCTTGAACATAGCCAGGCATTGCTGAAAAGCATAAAATGTTCAATCAATATCTGTCTTTAAGGAAAAATATTCTGCAAAATAACTAAATTGCAAGGACTTCCCCGTTTGCCAGAATCTTTAATTTATGCGTTGATTATTATTTGGATTGCAGGGCCCACAACTTTTTAGGCCAGAACCCTTGCGAAACGCAATTCTCGAGAAACGAGAAATTTTTGACAAAATACGAGTATGTTGATCAAATATTATGAAAAACAACTCATTCTCTGTGTTTAGCCGAACCCTAAAAGGCAGCGTTTATGTGGCATAGCTAGCACACAATTTCATTCTAGTGCCCTGGAATGCAATACTGAAAAAATGTCAGTAAAACTTATCTCTCAATGGTAGATGACTGTCCCGGAGTAGGTAAAGCTGCTCCTAAAAGAACTTGGAATACTCTTATGACAGTCTTAGATCATTTAAACCTTGGAGGATGCTTGGAAAATTCATGGAAAGGGTCTCCTCAAGCCTCAAGCTTGTTTTTCTAGAAATATTCTTCAATGGAAAGGGTTTCCTCAAGCATCACAAGGCTTTTTCTATAAATATTTTTCAATGCAAATGATCTCCTCAACCTTCAAGCTGCTTTTTCGATAAATATTCTTCATTCTCTCCGAATGAAGTTGACAATAAAAGATATTTTATATTCACAAAGCTGTAGTTTCCCAAAATACCACAATTGTATACCTATTTGTGAGGGTATTCACATTATGTGGTTGGCACTATAAGTGATAAGAGTAGCATGAGTAAAGCCGCGGCTTAGCTAACGCAAATAAAGAATGAAATGGAGTCATCACATTGATATATACATACACATGCCCTCATGTATATATAATCGTATGCATACAGAAAGAGAGTCGTAATGGAAGCCCCACAGATGGATGGATGGATGGATGGATTGGTCACTTGTATGACTTCTTCGCTTGTGATTGTGATTCTGCACTGTTGGCTGCACTTACCTCCAAATGTATTCCATATAAAGTCAACATGATCGTGTCCACGGCCCAGACCTCCTAGCAGATCACTAATGCGACTTCCGTGACTGGCACTGCCGCCTCCGAGTAGTGGCTGGGATTCCCGATTATCGTGGTGGAGGCGAAACCATTGAGGAGTGGGGCTACGGATTGGTCCTTGACAAAGTCTCCGATGAGATCCTCCTCATCCTCGAGCTGCAGCAGCGGCGGATCCGCCTTATCCAGTGCATGGCTCATGGCTGAAGTGGGCGGGGGGAGGGCTTAGAGGCACGTTTGTGGGGGGTGGCTGGGTGCCGAAGGGAATTCGAATTTTCGTGGCAGACACAACAACAAAGGGCCCGCGCTGTTGTTGCTGCTGCTTCTGCTTCTGCTCGGTTCTGTCTGTCTCTTTTCGGGCGTACGCTTTGTTATCTCCACCGCTCCGTATGCATGTTCTCGAACAATATGCTTCTATTATTCAAGCTGAAAGTCGATTATTTCATTATTTTTTAATTGTTGTCGCAATATTTGTAGTTGTTTTTTTTGGCAAATATCGATTTTCAGTTCATTTCAGCTGCTTTTTTGCCAAACTTTAATAATTTTTATCATTTCCTATCAAACAATAATTTTGATTTGGCACTGTCACTTTTTCGGAAAAACTTACTCACCATGCAAACGAAAACAGAAACTAAATTACGCGTTGAATTGAATTTTTCTAAGAACACGAAAGCGAAAAAGTGCTATTAGTGCTGACACTCTGTGGCATCAGAACAGCTGATTGCAGCGTTGCCAGAGTGCTGTTATTAGAACAAAGCAAATTCTTGTACGTTTTGGAAAGGGGTGTTCTTGTAAATAACTTTATTCTTAATAATACAATTGATTGCATGCTCAAGGGGTTTGCATTGCATCTATTGCTGCAGTACACTCTGCCGTAGTTTGGAGATCAAAACATCTGTCAGCTGCCTCTGGAGATTAGTGCTCTCCGCAACGAGCTCGATGCAATCCCTGAACTTGGTCACTGCATGGCGTAAACTCATGGGCGGCAGAACCCTGTAAGAGAAACATAATGTAATTATGTGTACATGGAAGGTGCCAATGTGCATCATTGCCCATAATCAATCATTCTACTTACGAGAACCAATGCAGGGGCTCCACGTAACCATTGGCCTTATCCACCGCATGCCGCTCGATGTTGATCTCATTCTCGTCTTTGGCCTTTATGACCCTGCAAAGGGCATTGAATTCGGCACTGTTCTCCGTTGGGATCTGCGCCTTGGAAACGGAATTACTTCCTCCAGCCTGAAATCTCGTCCTGGCCAGAAGTATGGCTCCGCTGGCGTTGGCTCTCTCCAAATTCACTTTACACTGAGTGTGCTCTTCGATTAAATGGAACAAGTCCAGGTACATGGCATCCAGCAGCTGGCCAGCAGCCTCTTTTTCTACTTTTTCAGCCACCATATCAATTGTTTTACAGGAATATCTGGTGTGTAATGTTTACTGGAGCGAGAAAACAATTCCAGTCATATGATCAAGTTGGCCCAGGTTGGCAGCCCCAATAGATAAAAGCGCGCCATGAATCAGGATGCTTGAAGGGAAAGGCCAGGCCATTGTCAATGGCTGCGATTTTGATAAAGGCCGTGTCCACCATATTCCAGTTATTCTCCGATCTGTGGGATATATTCTTGGTACTCGTGGTGGGTAGCTCCTCCTCGCTGCTGGCCAAACTGGTAACGTCTGTCTGGCCATTCTCTTTTGGGGATTGGGGGTCCGTGCCCCCTGCCGAACGCAGAGGTGGCGCAGGGGGAAAACATGAGTAAAAGTAGCAGGGAACAGGGCAGGAGATTCACCTTCAGGGGCTGACTCATTCGATTGAAGTGGGCCGACGGATAGTGCTCCTTAATACGCTTCTTCAGCTTTGCCTTCTGTCTATGGAGGCGGGCATAGTTGAAGCTTTCGGCGACCAGACGAACCACACGCGTCTTTGGCACCACATTCAGATTGAGGTTTCGATCCACTAGACTGGCTCCGGCCTCCGATAGATAGCTGCGCAACAGTGCATAAAAGTTAGTATAATGATCAGGGATATGTGGTATTATATGATGTTACCCCTGATTTTGTATCAGGCAGGCACGTCCAAAGCAGCAGGGACAGCAGAGCTTGTGCATCCATTTGGTCCATTTTGGATTCAGTCGGCCATAGGGATCCTCATCCTTTGGCTTGAACATAGCCAGGCATTGCTGAAAAGCATAAAATGTTCAATCAATATCTGTCTTTAAAGAAACCCTGACAAGGAGATACTGTATCTGGGTAAACCAAAAGTTCTGCAAAATAACTAAATTGCAAGGACTTCCCCGTTTGCCAGAATCTTTAATTTATGCGTTGATTATTATTTGGATTGCAGGGCCCACAACTTTTTAGGCCAGAACCCTTGCGAAACGCAATTCTCGAGAAACGAGAAATTTTTGACAAAATACGAGTATGTTGATCAAATATTATGAAAAACAACTCATTCTCTGTGTTTAGCCGAACCCTAAAAGGCAGCGTTTATGTGGCATAGCTAGCACACAATTTCATTCTAGTGCCCTGGAATGCAATACTGAAAAAATGTCAGTAAAACTTATCTCTCAATGGTAGATGACTGTCCCGGAGTAGGTAAAGCTGCTCCTAAAAGAACTTGGAATACTCTTATGACAGTCTTAGATCATTTAAACCTTGGAGGATGCTTGGAAAATTCATGGAAAGGGTCTCCTCAAGCCTCAAGCTTGTTTTTCTAGAAATATTCTTCAATGGAAAGGGTTTCCTCAAGCATCACAAGGCTTTTTCTATAAATATTTTTCAATGCAAATGATCTCCTCAACCTTCAAGCTGCTTTTTCGATAAATATTCTTCATTCTCTCCGAATGAAGTTGACAATAAAAGATATTTTATATTCACAAAGCTGTAGTTTCCCAAAATACCACAATTGTATACCTATTTGTGAGGGTATTCACATTATGTGGTTGGCACTATAAGTGATAAGAGTAGCATGAGTAAAGCCGCGGCTTAGCTAACGCAAATAAAGAATGAAATGGAGTCATCACATTGATATATACATACACATGCCCTCATGTATATATAATCGTATGCATACAGAAAGAGAGTCGTAATGGAAGCCCCACAGATGGATGGATGGATGGATGGATTGGTCACTTGTATGACTTCTTCGCTTGTGATTGTGATTCTGCACTGTTGGCTGCACTTACCTCCAAATGTATTCGATATAAAGTCAACATGATCGTGTCCACGGCCCAGACCTCCTAGCAGATCACTAATGCGACTTCCGTGACTGGCACTGCCGCCTCCGAGTAGTGGCTGGGATTCCCGATTATCGCTTCCCGCGTCCGTGGACATGCCCTCAAAGTCGATTTCTGGCACCAGGCAAATATCGTCGGCCTCGTCGTGCGGGTGACGTCCAATGGCAATGTGCGTTGCAGATTTCAGAGGAGAGGATGGTGCTGATGCTGTCGCCTTTGTTGTTGCAATGTGACTAATCACCTGTGGCTGTGGCGTGGCACTAGAGCTCCGGCTCTCACTGCTCTCCTCAGAGTGATTTTTGAATTTTGCTCTACCGTTGACGGTGCCATTGCGCAGGGCGGCGCTCGCAACGTTGCCCGACGGGTTTCGGCTGAGTAGAACTTCCACTTCGTCGTCGTCGTCATCGTCGTCATCGTCGCCGCCATCTGTGTTGATGTCGTCGCTCAAGATAAGCAACTGATCCAGCTGCGGTTTCTGATGGACCGGCACCGCCGCATCCCCAGCGCCTTTCACATCATCTTCATCTTCAGCGTTGTCGTCGTCGCCTACTGACAGAAGCATCGGCTCACGTTCCTTCTTCACCTTCTTCTTGGATTTTCGCTTCCCAACTCCAATTGTGTTAATCTGCGGAGTGTATGTCATTATAATATAGTATGGGAGGGGCAGGGCTGGCTTCAAGGTTCACTTACCTCAACTTTTGTGGTCAACTGGGTAACATTGTTTGTGCTGGAGGCGAAACCATTGAGGAGTGGGGCTACGGATTGGTCCTTGACAAAGTCTCCGATGAGATCCTCCTCATCCTCGAGCTGCAGCAGCGGCGGATCCGCCTTATCCAGTGCATGGCTCATGGCTGAAGTGGGCGGGGGGAGGGCTCAGAGGCACGTTTGTGGGGGGTGGCTGGGTGCCGAAGGGAATTCGAATTTTCGTGGCAGACACAACAACAAAGGGCCCGCGCTGTTGTTGCTGCTGCTTCTGCTTCTGCTCGGTTCTGTCTGTCTCTTTTCGGGCGTACGCTTTGTTATCTCCACCGCTCCGTATGCATGTTCTCGAACAATATGCTTCTATTATTCAAGCTGAAAGTCGATTATTTCATTATTTTTTAATTGTTGTCGCAATATTTGTAGTTGTTTTTTTTGGCAAATATCGATTTTCAGTTCATTTCAGCTGCTTTTTTGCCAAACTTTAATAATTTTTATCATTTCCTATCAAACAATAATTTTGATTTGGCACTGTCACTTTTTCGGAAAAACTTACTCACCATGCAAACGAAAACAGAAACTAAATTACGCGTTGAATTGAATTTTTCTAAGAACACGAAAGCGAAAAAGTGCTATTAGTGCTGACACTCTGTGGCATCAGAACAGCTGATTGCAGCGTTGCCAGAGTGCTGTTATTAGAACAAAGCAAATTCTTGTACGTTTTGGAAAGGGGTGTTCTTGTAAATAACTTTATTCTTAATAATACAATTGATTGCATGCTCAAGGGGTTTGCATTGCATCTATTGCTGCAGTACACTCTGCCGTAGTTTGGAGATCCAGCACAAAACATCTGTCAGCTGCCTCTGGAGATTAGTGCTCTCCGCAACGAGCTCGATGCAATCCCTGAACTTGGTCACTGCATGGCGTAAACTCATGGGCGGCAGAACCCTGTAAGAGAAACATAATGTAATTATGTGTACATGGAAGGTGCCAATGTGCATCATTGCCCATAATCAATCATTCTACTTACGAGAACCAATGCAGGGGCTCCACGTAACCATTGGCCTTATCCACCGCATGCCGCTCGATGTTGATCTCATTCTCGTCTTTGGCCTTTATGACCCTGCAAAGGGCATTGAATTCGGCACTGTTCTCCGTTGGGATCTGCGCCTTGGAAACGGAATTACTTCCTCCAGCCTGAAATCTCGTCCTGGCCAGAAGTATGGCTCCGCTGGCGTTGGCTCTCTCCAAATTCACTTTACACTGAGTGTGCTCTTCGATTAAATGGAACAAGTCCAGGTACATGGCATCCAGCAGCTGGCCAGCAGCCTCTTTTTCTACTTTTTCAGCCACCATATCAATTGTTTTACAGGAATATCTGGTGTGTAATGTTTACTGGAGCGAGAAAACAATTCCAGTCATATGATCAAGTTGGCCCAGGTTGGCAGCCCCAATCGATAAAAACTATACCAAAACAAGTGACCAATCGATTTAAAATTTCTCTCAAAAAACTCGGTGCAGTATTTCGCGTGGCAATTTTACAACTGTAATTGTGTGTTTTGCAGCGAACATGATCAATTAACAGGTAAAATTACCAAAGCCCACTATAATGGCAGCAGTTGCGCTCAAGTGCTCGTCCAAATAATGTAACCGGAAAAGCAAACAGCTGTCGACCCCCGTTAACTGCTGTTGTCAAGGTATATCAAAGAGGCGGCAAGGCATCCACTGTGTTATTTGGCATGCAAAAATAATAAAATGAATTGTAATGAAAATCCTTTAAAAAACGCTTTAATATTCAAGAAAGAGGAGGCGTGACAAACAACCTATGCTTGCACTTCCTTACCTCTTATTAACATACACCCTGTTGTATATTACGCGGGTCGAAATGCCATCCAGAAGAGCGACCGAGAGAGGGATATTGTTTATTTTACGATGCTGTTGCCAGATTAGAGAAAGTTTATAAAAACGCTGGTAATTAGCGTTCAGCCGCCAGTTAGAAGAATCCCCTTAAACCCCAAAGTTCGTGCCAGCAGCAACAAGTGGATGCCAAACGGTTACAAAACTATTTTGACCGTGCCAACAGTTCCAAAGTTAAATCAGAGAGCTGCCGATTATGGCAGACTTAAGAAGCCGCAAACGCGAAAAGTCAATCAAAGGCAGCGTCGATGTCGGACGGATTATGGACGAGGTGCGCCAGCCAGCTAGCCAGCAAAACTATTTATGAGGCTACTACCTTTGTTTAAGTGTTTACATGTGGACAATTATCTCGATACTTGTACGCATACGTAAGCGAAAGCGTAAGCTTGGTGGATGACAAATATTGGTGAAAAGCGCGGCTATTGCCGGACAAGTGTGTATCTTATCGCAACCATCGGAAATATTCACACTTAAGTGACGACAGTTTTCATTTTGGGCAAGGTCGCCAGGGGAATACTCTTTTGGATTACTGCCTACCTTCAGGGGAGAAGTACAACTGTCGCTTAAGAAGTTTTTGTGTAGTTTACGATAAGAACGTCTATTTAATGTTTGTCTGGCTATCAGACAGACAGAGAAACCCATGCATAAAAGCAACTTCATATGATTCAGCTCTTTCCTTATCGCTTTAATTATTTAGGAAACAAGTGAAGCGAACATTAAAAGCCAGAACATTGACAATTCCCAGCAGACCATAATGAAATCGGGAAAGGAAGGTCAGGACTTGATGTCCAGTCGACGCACAGTCAGTGAAAGCTCATCTGAAGACCCAGGACGCGAAGGAATCAACGCATCAAACGGCAACGGAATGTGGCGGAATGAGCTAAAGATTAGCGCCGACAGTTCCTCCGCACAGCCTGAGAAGCAGCAGCTGCAGGTCCAACACACCAGTTTACTCCACAATGAGAGATTTAGTGATATCGTTGATGTAGTTCTTCGGTGTGCCCTTGTCACTATCTTTTTGTGAGTTTAGATGAAGGTGTGATTAGGATTCTGATTAATATGATTCATCATTGCAGCAAACTGGAGACAATGTGGGCCTTCAAGCGTGAAATACACGCCGAAGAGCTATGGCTGTACAAGAATCCCAGGCGTCCGGACATCATCAAGGGCGGAGAGCTGCTCTTCTGGGTGATTGTGGCTCCGCTGATTATGACAGTTGTCTTCTATGTGTTTACCAAGGACAAGCGAGACTTTCGAGCCGCCAGCTGGGCCTGGACATTGGCCCTGTGCATGAACGGATTTCCCACAAGTCTGCTGAAAATCACCGTGGGTCGACCCAGGCCAGACTTTTTTTATCGTTGTTTTCCCGACGGCGTAATGGTGTTGAACTCGTCAAGTACTTCGGATAGTAGTTCCATTTTGGATTTCAGTTGCACTGGGATTGCGAGCGAAATAAACGAGGGTCGCAAGAGCTTTCCCAGCGGACATTCATCCTGTAAGTGTTGGCCTATGGGCCTCCCCTCCTCACCTTAGTCTTGAACTGTTAATTGATTCCTTCTGGTCTGACCGTTTCAGTTGCTTTTGCCAGCTTTGGATTTATAGCGTACTATGTGGGTGCGAAGCTGCATGCTTTTGATGCCCGAGGACGCGGCCACACCTGGCGCCTGTGCATTGCTGTGATTCCGCTGGTCATTGCCACTTTGGTGGCGGTTAGTCGCACATGCGACTACCACCATCACTGGCAGGATGTGACTGTGGGAGCCATCATTGGCCTGCTCACGGGCTATATCAGCTACAGACAATATTATCCATCCATTTTTGGGCCCCAGGCAGGCAAGCCGTCGATCCGTTGGCCCAGGAGATTGGGAAATAAATATGATAAGCAGAGGGAGGCAGATGAGAATGGGGCTGGCGGGGATATGTTACGGAGGCCGCTCCTCGGGGGTAAGGAACAGACCAAATGGTACTAAAACTACTTCAAATTGCAAAGCTTTACGTATTATGTAGTTCAATTATTGCTCTTCCCGTCTAAGCTCCTTTAAATTATAACAAGCCATCAACACTGAAGCTGTTATTCCTGTAAACCGTATTGTACACATAATTGTTAATCCCGGAAAAAACACGACATGCAGCTGTGCTGCATGGGCGGGCGGTTAGTTACCTCTTAATGGGTAGGTGTAGTCATTTTTAGATTAAAATACAAACCATGTCATTTGCTAAAAGTAATTTTTAATGCTCATTTTCTGCAGCAAAGACATCCAAACAATTGATTCAAATTTGCTACATCAAAGTGACCGAAACTAGCCTAAAGGATTCACTCCGTGCATTGCGCGACACCTCATTCTCAATTCATCGAATTAAAGGCCTGCAGTAGCACCTGTTTTTCGCGCTCCTTCTTCTTGACCACGTCCAGGCTGCGCTGTCTCCAGGTGCTCTTGCGCAGCTTGATCGGACGACTGCCGACATAGCGTCCATCCATTTCCTTCATGGCGCGTATGAAGTCCGCGGGCTCACGAAAGCTGACAAAGCCGAATCCCTTGCTCTTACCGGTCCGCTTGTCTCGAATCACGCGCGCCCTCTGGAACGACGGAAACTTGTTGAAGGTACGTGTGAGGACCTCGTCGTTGACATCGTTGCCCAGATCGCCGCAGAATATGCGGAAATCATCGTCGGGCCAGTCGGCCAACGAGGAGTCTTCCCAGACAGTGCCTCCGGCAATCCGCACAGTCTTACGATCCTTTTTCTTGCGCTCTGTGGTCTGGAAAGATTGCAGGGCGGACGAGGCCCGCGCTGCTTTGATGGCTTCTTCGGCTATGGGATTGGGTCCGGACTTTTCCGCCTTCAGCTTTTTTAGCTTCTGCGTGACGTCGAATTGTACGGCGTTGATGTCGATGGATGATGGTGCCGCAGCCACAGTGGGAACATGCACCGACTGCCGACACTGGTACAATTTTGGAGCGCTGCTCAGCACCACGGGAGTGGCGGCCATCGATTTGGCGGGCGATGTCGATGATGAATTGTTGCCCGTCGGCACAAAGGTCGACATAAACGAGGGCGGTGGAGGAATTGGCGGCGGCGGCACTGTCAAGCGCGCCCCCGGATGCTGCTGCAGTTTCTGCTGCACATTGTTGTACGTATTCGCGGCGATGATCGGTCGGACTTGGTTGGGCACAAAGAGATTCCGCGCTGGGGGCTTGGAGATCTCAGCTTCGAAGCGAGACAGCTCGTCCTCGATATTGCGACGTTTCGTACCCATTTATTGATATCTTAATGGATAAATAATTTTTTAACTCTCAAAATCAAACAAATTTTCACAAAAAATGCTGCCTTTCAACAGCTGATGCCTAGAGATGTGTGAAGTGCGATAACTGACGAACGCCGCTGGTACTTTTAATACTTTTCGGTATTTTTTGAGGTCAAAATTGAACCGACGATATATCGGTATATAATAGTACATTTTGTCAATTTTTAACGTTATATAGAAATCCAATAAAAGCAAGTGTTAAAATTAAGCCAATTAAGAGAAAATAGATTCAACAATCGTATAAAATAATGTGGGCAGGGCTGAGAGATCAATCTTGCTAGTATTATTCCACGGAAGATCAAAAACGAGGAATATGTAAAATAGAACTTGAATTCGTCAGTATATTTACGGTATATTTTTTAAGTGAGACCAGTTAGTGATGAGACGGAATGTTTCGGTATATTTCTGAGGGTCGTATATTTTATCTTGCTCAGATTTTTTGCTTGGCTGTATCGTTGTTTCAGTGGAAATAATACATAATAATTGAATTAAATATCATTAAAAGAGCTATAAGCTGTGATAGCAACAAGTATCTTGAGCAAGCATAATTTCGAAAAGCAAAGCACCAGGCTGCCCCACTATTACGCCCGCAGAGAGTCCCCCACACACATAGAAAGGCGAAAGGGGCGACAACAATAAAAGAAAAGTGGCAAAAAGCCCCTGAACCTAAAAGTTAAAACATAATTGGGTGTATTTAACACGCCTAAGATGCCACCAAAAGAACGCAATATAGCCATAATGGGCTACCGTTCTGTGGGTGAGTGTTTGATTGAACTCTAGTTCCCCTCCAGCGTTTCGATGACTGTTGTTGCTGTTTGGGCTCTTTAATTGCGTAGTATTTCACTCGAACAGCAATAGCAACAACTCTGACGAGCTGACGAAAAATTCCCAGTAATAATTTACGTTTCACCTGCAGGCAAATCATCGCTCAGCATACAGTTTGTTGAAGGCCAATTTGTGGACTCGTATGACCCAACGATTGAGAATAGTAAGTGCGTGCGCAGGCAGCAGCTGTTCTCCCCTTTCAGGAGGAGTGCGATGACGTTTCGGAGTAGGATGAGATGCATCATCATCATGCGATGGCAGCATGCACCATCCGAATGAGAGAATTTAATTTTTTAAAACTTAAATTTGTTCTACCTTATTTAGCATTCACCAAGGAGACCAAGGTCAACTCGCAGGAGTATGACATGAAGCTGATCGATACTGCTGGCCAGGACGAATACAGCATATTCCCGGTACAATACAGCATGGATTTCCATGGCTATGTCCTGGTCTATTCAATAACGAGCCAAAAATCCTTTGAAGTTATCAAAATTATATACGAAAAACTTTTAGATGTGATGGGCAAAAAATAGTACGCAAATTTGCAATATACGATGGAAATTCTTTCATAATTTATTATATTTTGCAGTGTACCTGTAGTGTTAGTAGGCAATAAAACCGATTTGCATCAAGAGCGGACTGTAACCACAGAAGAGGGCAAGAAACTGGCAGAATCCTGGCGAGCTGCATTTCTCGAAACATCCGCCAAACAAAATGAGGCAAGTATCCTTTTTGCAATAAAATTAATGCTCTATTCTCATATCTCTCTTTGTTGCCGCAGTCTGTTGGAGACATATTTCATCAGCTACTAATACTGATTGAGAATGAGAATGGTAATCCCCAGGAGAAGAGTAGCTGCATTATTTCATAAGGGAGAGCCTGGTTGGTGGATATCCATGGCCAAACTGTTAAAACCTAGATGGCAATACGAAAATCGATTATATCTTATCTAAACAGTTCGGCCAGCAAGCATGGGCTGGGGCTGGGGCGTGGGCTGGTGGCCGTGTCCCAGGTGCGCAGGAAGAAAAATCTACAAAAACTAATAGCTTTAAGTCCACACACAGCAAGAGTAACCAGCATCAATCAATTTAGGAGCGACCACAAAATGCTGCCCAGCAGGTTTTTTGTGGCTGTCGCTTAGCGTAACACACAACAGGTTTAAGTTAGCTCACCTTTTTCACAATAAAAATTCAGTTACAAAGTTTATATACAGATTTAAGAGTCAAAAGATTATTTTATATATTTTACTGTTTTTAGTTTCAATTTAAATATAGTTTTGTCCAAGTAATATGATGGATTTTTAATTTAGGAAGTGGGAATACGGGCTCAGACCATGGATGTTCTAGAGGAGCATAAACTTCAATCTTCATGTCAAGTAGATCTGGATCTAAAGGGTCGGCGATTCCAATCCAATTGGATTCCGTATCTGATGGCTATGGTTTTATTAATAATCTATAATTCGAAATTAAAACTTTCCTCCGAAAAGAGTTAAATCACATATGTACTATCAATATGTAATATTGAATAATTGAAGAAGGGAATCGTATACATTCAAGTTCCGCGCCCAGCTCAGAATACTATTCAACCAACCCTCGTAAAGAATTGGGCCCCTTTTTGCGTGAACTTCTTTTTTTACACCTTATTTTGGACACAATCTTATAAAAGCAAGTATTTAGAATAGGCCAGTCAAGTAGAAAATTGATTCACTTATCGGATAAAATTATGTGGGCAAAGTTGAAAGATCTATATATGTAGCTAGTAATATTCGACGGAGGATCAAAAACGAGTATTTATTGGTAATAGCCGGTTGACGACAATATGAGACCCATTCCATACGCAAATGTTGCTAAATTCACGCAAATGTTTCTGGGCATGCCCTGGGCATAATAGGTATCAGGATCGAGATATGTATGTATATGTATATATGCAAGATACCAATCATATTCATGAATATGTCTAAAACTTATCAATTTGAGAAAAGGTCTTTATAAATTACGTTTCATCTTCATATGAAATTATCGAAATAGGGTGTACAAAAGTTTATACACGCATCATGTCTTCAAATACCAGAAATATTGCGACTTTTTTTTTTTGTTGAACTCTTTTGTTTAGGCCTTGTTTTAGCAAAAATACAATAAAAGCAAGTACTAAAACCTAGCAAATCTTGAAACATATTTATTCATCAACAGCCTAAAATTTTGTGGGCAGAACTAAGAGTTTTAGTTAGCTAGAATTATTCAATGGAATCTCTAAATTGAGCAATATGAACGACTATCCTCTTTCGTTTTTTTGATTGACATATTTCACTAGAACTTTTTTTTTAGACAAGATCCAATGAAAGCAAGTATTTAGGATAAGCCAGCTAAGTATAAAATTAATTCATGAATCGTATAAAATTATGTGGGCATGGCAAAATGTTATATCTAGCTAATAATATTCGACGGAATATCAAAATTGAACAATAGGAACGACTATCCTCTTTCGTTTTTTTTGTTTGACCATTTTCGCTAAAACCTCTTTTTATGCAAAATGCTATAAAAGCAAGTGTTTAAAATAAAACAGTCAATTATAAAATAGACTCACTAATCGGATAAAATTATGTGGGTATGGCTAAATGTTCTATATAGGTGGTAATATTCCACGGAATTTTTGAAAAACGAGGAATATGTAAAATATAACTTGAATTCGTAAGTATATTTACGGTATATTTTTGAAATGAGACGGTGTATTTTGATATATTTCTGAGGGTCGGACGGTATATATTAACGATAAGTCCGCGGTCACAATGGTTCCGAGCGTAGTACAAATTAAAATCAATTAAAAGCAATCAAAGCGCTCGAATAAAAAGCAAAAAGAAGAGCACTTAGCACCCAGCGAATTGCCCTGATTCCGGTTTTGATAATACTTTGGCCAAATACCTGATACCTGTACGGCAAACAGGTGAGAGAGAGATACCGGCTGGCAGCAACAACAATCGAATCGATTTTTAACCAATTGTTAATGTTCTTGGTTATTGATTGATTTGTCCGGCAGAATGTGGCGACACCTCCGCCCTATCACAAGCAGATCCAGCTTCAGTAAAATGCGCAGTTTCTCGGCTTTGGTGCAGAGCAAGGCTCTAGTCAATGGCAACTGGATAGACTCCAGCAACAGCGCCACCTTCGAGGTGAGGAACCCCTCCAGCGGCGAGGTGATTGGGAATGTGCCCAACATGACCGTGTCGGATGCCCAGGATGCCATCAATGCGGCCAAGCAGGCATACGAGTCCAAGGAGTGGCGCTCTCTGACAGCCAAAGATCGCTCCAACCTTTTAAAGGTGAGATCCAGTTCGAGTAGAGCCCGCCCGTGAATAGATAATTTTGATAAGCTTATCTCGCGCTTTTCAGAAATGGCACAAACTCATCGAGCAGCATAGCCAGGAGATAGCCGAGATAATGACCGCTGAATCGGGCAAACCCATTAGCGAGTCCAAAGGGGAGGTGGCCTACGGCAATGCCTTTGTCGAATGGTTCGCAGAGGAGGCTCGTCGCATCTACGGGGAGATCATTCCCAGTCCTGTGGCTAATCGTGAGATCATTGTAATGAAGCAGCCCATTGGTGTTGCAGCCCTAATCACACCCTGGAACTTTCCACTGGCCATGATCACCCGCAAGGCTGGCGCTGCTCTGGCTGCGGGCTGTACCGTTGTGGTAAAGCCCTCAGAGGACACACCGCTGACCGCTCTGGCTGTGGCCAAGCTGGCCGAGGAGGCGGGCATTCCCAAAGGAGTGATCAATGTGGTCACGACCAATAAGGCGGCCCCCATTGGCGACCTCTTCTGCAAGAGTCCAGACGTTCGCGGCATCTCCTTTACCGGATCCACGGAGGTGGGCAAGCTCCTTTTCCGCAACTCGTCGGATGGAATCAAGAGGATATGCCTGGAGCTGGGCGGCAACGCGCCATTCATTGTTTTCGACTCGGCTAATGTGGAGAAGGCCGTCGAGGGAGCCATGGCATCCAAGTTCCGTAATTGCGGCCAGACCTGCGTCTCGGCCAACCGATTCTTTGTGCAGGACGGCGTCTACGAAAAGTTTGTGACGCAGCTGAAGCAGCGAGTGGAGGCGCTCAAGATCGGCGATGGTAAGGCCAACGATGTCCAGATCGGACCCCTCATCAACCAGATGCAGTTCAAGAAGGTCGGCGGCTTTGTGGAGGATGCTCGCGGCAAAAAGGCGAACGTCATAACAGGAGGCAAGCCTTTGCCATCGATTGGGCCGCTCTTCTATGCGCCCACTATCATCACAGATGTCCCAGCCACGGCCCAGCTTTACACGGAGGAGGTATTCGGACCCGTCGTCTCCATCATCCGCTTCAAGGACGAGACGGAGGCCATACAAAAGGCAAACGACACAAGACGCGGCCTGGCCGGCTACTTCTACAGCGAGAATCTGCAGCAGGTCTTCAGGGTGGCCAAGCGCCTTGAGGTGGGGATGGTGGGCGTCAACGAGGGTATGATCTCGACCGCAGAGGCGCCATTCGGCGGCGTCAAGGAGTCTGGCGTAGGACGCGAAGGCTCCCATCATGGCATCGATGATTATGTGGATATCAAGTACATTTGCATGGGAAATCTGAAGTACGATTGAAGTTCAAGGAGCCCGCAGCACATGCTTTCATTTGCAGTCTTCCATTAGATAAAATACAATTTGTTGTTTGTTGCATACTTGTAAAACACGCCGCTATATAAATACATTTAAATTGAAATGTGCGCGCTTAATTAATATCGATACCATTAAATACTGAGTGGTAACCAGTGTTACACAGTAGCTTCTTTTTAAAAATAAAAAAAAAATAGTAGCTGGCAATATTTGACGGAATATCAAAATTGAGGCATTCGTCGTATTTTTGAATCGGTAATGACCCGGTTGACAACATTTAAATCCTTGTCGTTCACATTCAAAAATGTATATTTGGCGCGCACCACTCGTATCCAGTCGATAGTATCGATAACCGAACTTTAAACGGGTAAGGACCTCTTTTCCCCGGTTGACAACATGTACACATACCCTAGGGGAAATGGATGTTATAGAACTGAGAAAATATATGTCATCCCAGGCTTTAAATAATGCAAAAAAAAATTTAGTCTCTGTTTAACACGATATTTTGCCATTAGTGGTCTTTTTACGGATATTAAGAATGAGTTTCGGGATCAGGTTTTATACACAAATAACTAATCAAATGAATGAATAGACCAAAAAATGCAATCTAAGAAAAGGCCTTTATTAATTACATTTGAAAGCAGCTTGGAAAACAGTATCTTAATATAATATTAACGAAATTGGCTATACAAACGCCCATACCCTGGTTGACAACAAATGAGTCTGCAAATACCAGCAACATTGACCTGAGAACACTGCGGCTATTGAACATTTCTGTTGAAACCGTTTTTTGTCAAAACAAAAAAATGCAAGTACTTAAAAGTAGTTTATCCTGATTAAAATTGATTCATCAATCACATAAAATTATCTGGGCAAAACTGAGAGATCTATATACATAGCTGGGAATATTCGACGGAAGATAATAAACGAGTATCTATTGTTGAATAACCGGTTGATAACAATGATTACCGGCAACACCAATTTTCATACCCTAGGGAAAAGGATGTTATAGAGTTGAGAAAATGTTTGTCGTCCCAGTCTGCGAAGGTATGAAGATCGAGATAAATATACATGATACTAATAATACACATGAATATGTCTAAAACATATCCATTTAAGAAAAGGCCTTTATAAATTACGTTTCATCTTCATATGAAATTATCGAAATAGGGTGTACAAAAGCCTATATACGCATCATGTCTTCAAATACCAGCAATATTGCGACTTTTTTTTTTTTTTGTTGAACTATTTTGTTTAGGGCTTGTTTTAGCCCAAATACAATAAAAGCAAGGACTAAAACCTAGCAAATCTTGAAACATATTTATTCATCAACAGCCTAAAAGTATGTGGGCAGAGCTAGGAGTTTTAGTTAGCCAGAATTATTCAACGAAATCTCTAAATTAAGCAATATGAACGACTTCTTTTTTCTCTTGACCTATTTCGCTAAAACCGATTTTTACGCAAAATGCAATAAAAGCAAATGTTTAGAATAAACCAGTCAATTAGAAAATAGATTCACTAATCGGATAAAATTATGTGGGCATGGCTAAATGTTCTATTTAGGTGGTAAGATTCCACGGAATTTTTGAAAAACGAGGAATATGTAAAATATATCTTGAATTCTTCAGTATATTTACGGTATATTTTTTAAATGAGACGGTGTATTTTGATATATTTCTGAGGGTCGGACGGTATATTTTAACGATAAATCCGCGTTCACACTGATTACAATAGCCGACAATGTCCGACAAAATTGTAAGTATATTTTTAACAACAATATAAAATTTGCTAATTCCGTGTCCTCTAAACCACCAACAAGATTGTGAAGTGTCTGTAGAGTGTTTCCCCTGCCGAAAGGGGACACGTAGTCGCAAAAGCCGGCAAACAAAAGTGACCCGCCGCGTTGTTGTTGTTTCTGTCGCCGTTGCTCGGCAGAAAATATAAATTTTGGGGAAAACTATGAAATATGGAAAGTGCATCTGAAAATGTGTGCTGCTGCTTGGTCCAAGGCCATAGATGGGGTCTGCTATCTGTATAAAATATAGGGTTTCTTTTAATAATACCCCAGCCAAAGCAGACAGCAAATAAATAGTACAATGACTTGTAGATTTTGAATGTAAAAGTGCACTAATGGGAAAGGGGGTGGTGGGTGTGCAGAGAGAGAAGGAAGGTTTTGGTTTTGAACGATAATCTAAATACATATTTCAGCAGCAAGAGATTGATGCAACTGATGGCAAATTAAGAGAGGTCTTAAGAGAACAAATCTATTATTTAATTCAAATGCGGAAGTAGGGGGAATAGTGGGCGCTCTCTGGCGCATTTTGGCAACAAATGCATTTGTTTTTATTGCGTTGCCAACAAATTTTCACAGTCAACTTTGCGCCTTCATGACGTACAGTTCCAAACATCAAATAAGAAAGGCCTTTTAAGGCTTTAGTAGCTTCCAAAGCTACACTTACCACCCACCACCCAGCCACTCACCCACCCAGGACCCAGCACCCAGCACCCAGCACCCAGCCCAGCACAGAACACAGCTCTACGACATGGCCAGTGCTCCTCTGATGCTTGAGAACCTTCTATACAAAAAACGCAATTTGGTTTATGCCTTTGCCCGCCATCGTCTGTTTCTGTTATGCAAACAATCGGTTTGGTTCCCCCTAAAAATCAAATTAAAATTATTTGATAATGAACTCTATTTTTCCTTTTTATTGCAGCTAGTACGAGTGCAGTCTGCGGAGGGCATCAAACGCATTGAGATCTCACCCAAGTCAAATTTGAAGCAACTCTATGACAGCGTTCAGACTGCCATGCAAGTGGATGGATTCGGCCTGTTCAAGGAGCGTAATTTTCTTACAGAACTTCAGGCCAGTGGCTCCCAGCTTGTGGGAACCGCACTGAAGCATGGCGACATGATATACTTAAAACAAATGGCTGGCACTTCGACGCGGGTAAGTCGAATGTTTCTAATGGAAGTCAACCATATTTTAATACTCAATTTTGTCTTTGCAGCGCACCAGTACCGTTGCCATTGAAAATCAGGTCTTCAAGTCGACTGCAGCTAGCGAAAAGCTGAGCAACAGCAATACGAACAGCGCTCGGCCCTCAACTAACGTGATCGAGGATGAGGTGGATCTGAACCTGTCCAAAGCCGATGGCACTATTAAGCGCGAACGCGATAGCAAGCTGTAAGTTTGGGGATCTTCCTATATCGATTAAGTTTATAAAATATTTAAAAATCTATTAACTAAAGCTGCCATCACAATGCCAATGGCCGTTGCGTTCATTGCTCGCCGCTGGAACCCTATGATGAGGCCTATTTGAAGGAGAATAACATCAAGCACTTGTCGTTTCATTCGTACATACGCAAGCAGACATCAGGCATGGATCATGGCAAATACTTTGTATTCGATGACATAAATTGCCGCATCAAGACAGGCTGTAGGGAACATCCGCCATGGCCCAAGGGCATATGCTCCAAGTGCCAGCCATCGGCCATAACCCTGAACCGTCAGACCTATCGTCATGTGGACAATGTCATGTTCGAGAATACCAAAATTGTAGAACGTTTCCTAAACTATTGGCGTACCACTGGCCACCAGCGTATGGGCTATTTGTACGGAACTTATGAGCCGCATACAGATGTACCGCTCGGCATACGCGCCACGGTGGCAGCGATCTATGAGCCACCGCAGGAATCGACACGGGATTCGATCAATATGTTCCCCGATGAGGGGGACGCCGAAGTCGATGCTGTAGCCAATGCGTTAGGACTGAAGAAGGTGCGCGGGAAAGACACTTCTTTTACACTATAGGTTTACAACACTTTTGTGTTTTTTTTATAGATTGGTTGGATATTCACTGATCTCATCACGGATGATGCAACTGCAGGAACTGTGAAGCAGATTCGTGGCATCGAGACCCACTTCCTCACCGCCCAGGAGTGCATAACGGCCGGAGAGCTGCAGAATCGTCATCCCAATCCATGTAAATATGCCTCAAATGGCGTCTTTGGCTCAAAGTTTGTGACCATTTGTGTGACGGGTAAGTGTTTTCCATCACTCGGTTTTCATCGAGCAGTAATCTGACATTCCATATGCACTTAGGAGATCAAACCAAACAAGTACATATGGAGGGATATGCGGTGTCTGCCCAGTGCATGGCTCTGGTCCGAGATGATTGTCTGATACCCACTAAGGAGGCTCCCGAATTGGGATATGTGCGTGAGTCCACAGATAAGCAGTATGTTCCAGATGTCTTCTATAAGGTGAGTGATATAATCGATATGATGTGCCTTCCATTCGGGTTTGAGTTCTGCAACATTTATTGAAAACTTTCACATTTAAACACACTGCATATGTAGACACCAATTGAACAGGGATTACATTTCGATTATTGCTTAAAAGCTATGTAAAGTTTGATTATCTATGGACATTTAACACTTAAATACATTTTAACTCGGTGTAGGGTGTGGGTATTTTTTTGAATCCTCTGGATTTTAATGACCATTATTCGTTCTCTTCTCCCTTCTCCGTTTGTGTTTGTACTTCGCATCATTGCTCTGTGGAGGGCTCTTTGCCAAAAATCCATACCAATTATGATTTACAAGAAACACGCCTTAAGAATTAATAACCAGACACATTTACAACACAAGTATGGATATAGTACCTATACTAATCGTATTATTTGGATTCTCGGTAAACTATATACCATTTGAGCAAATTTTTATTTGAGATTTCTTCGTGTTTGATGCGCTTTTTTGCCACCGTTTCGATGATTTTTTTTAATCTGAGACTTTCCTTAAAAATTAATTTAATTTTGTCATATATTTGAACTCAAAGAATTCTCGATTTGATTTAATCAAATAATTTAACTTATATAATGTTTCTTTTACGTAAAAAAATTGATTTAAATTCCACGATTCTTATTAATATTGATAGAATATTTAAAATATAAATTTATTTTCTGTAGTACTTACATTCGTTCCATTTGGCTTACAAAACGAATGTATAATTGCTGTGTATCATCTGCTGTGTATTGTGTATTACCATATCTTATCTTTTATATTAAATATTAATATCATCCATCACATATATGCATTATATCTCTTATTAATCGTATATGTTTCGAATAATACTATCTTTTTCTTGATGTTCTTGATTATTATGAATAATAATAAATCAAAACGCAATGCTAAACCGACCTATACCTAACTCAAATATTTCGTATAGTTCTGCATATATAATATCAAAATTACTCGATGCCTAAAGCTTCTAGACTTCAATTGATCCTTCGTTTTGATTTTCTTTTAAATAAAATCACTTGTTCCTTGTTTATGATATATGTATGTAGAACTATTCTTATGTCACAATTCGTTTATAATGGTCACAACAAAAGCTTATATAGACATCAAACATTTACTTCTGGTAAATCGATTTAGCTCGCTATTGTTTTGTGATTTTATGGATAAATCTCCTGTAAATATAGTTAACATCTACGCAAGATTTCACCTATTTCTTGTTTTTTTTTTTATAGAGGTTCTTATTAGATAGTGTTACAATATCGACAGAGATGTAGAGAGTTTCTTGTAGGTGGAAACCTTATATCAATCGTATATCGTATCGTGTATCGTGTATCGTATATCGTAGTGTTCTGTATTCGATTTGCATTAATTTACTTCATCGTAAATATGAAGTGTACCTCGAATGTATTGAGATGTTTAACAGACGGACAAAGATGTGATATTTAATGTCTATCATAGATCACGTAGTGTGTACTGAATAGAATATCGTTTGATATATTGCATAGTTTACTTTATTGTAGATATATATATATATATATATATATATATATATATATGTATGCACATATAGATATCATCTTTATCTGGAATCATTTCACAATTTTCGTGCCATTTTATAAGATTTCCATTCATATGTAGTTATTATGTCTTATTGGATATCTATAATTTTTTAAAATACCTTTTAGTTAAGGTATTAATTCTTGATTTCATAGCCAGGTAACGTTGTAGCGCTTGAAACATCCTACGGATTGTAGGATTGTGTTTCATGTGTATACCTTATGCCTATAAAATATAATAGCCAATAACATATTTCCATTTAGACCTTAAGACCTTACCAAGAAATTTCACAAATATCATTAACTATTTTCCATCGACTTTGTATTTATAGAAGAACAAAAAAGAAACAATAACTTTTTATTATTATTATTATTTAAAACAGCCTAAAAATGTTGCTTTTTATCTCTTATCCTCTCTCTCTCTCTCTGTTTGGTATTATTCCGTTTTGTAAAATATTTCTAAAAGTTTCTCAAGTCTCATTTTTGACAATTTGGCTTTTTTATTTCTTGTTCGTTCTTTTATTCCACTGAACAATATTACAATATAACATACAATATTGTACAATATTGCAATCAAAAACGGACATCAAAGAGATTAATTTCTTAAAAACACCTGTCTTGTCTGTCTTATCTTATATTACATATATTATACGATGCTTCAAAAATTGTGTATAGTAGATCCGAGTAATGGGGCTCCTCATGGGGGTAAAGGTTGGTCCGATCGGTTCTCAGTTCCCACAGGACAGTACAACCCGCAATCTTTGATGATGGATCGCACACCAGGTCGCCCGATCGGGTTGCCAGTCGCAGCGATTCGGTCTATCATTTCGATGCCATCGATTATGTAGCCAAATATGGCCGTGAATATCTGATGTTCGTTCAGCAGCACCCGGAACTGGCTGCCGACGAGTCCGTGGTGGTCGTGTCGCTTCTGACTTCGCCGCATGCCAACCGCACCCCTGTGGGATTTTAGTCTGCTGTTGTCCGGCTGAAAGAAGCGCTCCTCGAAGGCGGCATGTCCGCCGCGACCGTTCTGCGACTCAAAGTCCCCTGTGATAATGCTCTCGTTGCCCCAGGTCTGAAATACGACGCATCCCCGGTACCCAAAGCCGCGATCCTGCCGGATAAGCGAGCCAAAGTTTTCGGCCATCCGGGGCGCAGCATCCTTGTTCACTTCGATTAGTACTCGCCCGGCCAGACGCCCTGCTATTTCCATATCCATGTAATATATGGGATAACAGTGTACTGAGGGCAACCGCCCAATGCTTACCAATCCAATGGCTGTCCCATGGCCATGCCCATGCTGACGCATGCCGGAGCCTTGCTGATGCTGATGGTGTTGCTGTGCCTGTGCATTGTTCTGTCCAAGCAGTAGGCCCAGATTCAGGCGGTTGTAGTCGTTGTTGAAGAGCTGGGCTGCCGGATGGGGATAGTTGTGGGTCAAGAAGCTGTGGCTGCTGCCGCTGGTAGAGGGAGCTGGCTCCAGAGGAGCTATCTGCCACAGGTTATTGATCGGCAGCATCAGGGAGTGCTCATGGCGGGGTTGACTGTGGTGCGGTGGATGCTCCTGGCGGGGCACCAGCAACACCTGTTGCTGCATCTGTTGCCAGTAGTTGTAGATGCAGTAATTGATCATCACCAAAGCTGGTGGCACTCCGTCCCCAGGTATGCCCTGGGGTGGATTGGGATTGGGATTCCGCTGTAGACCCAGAATTCGCTCGTTGAGCAGCTCAAAGGTCAGCAGGTGCATGCCATTCTCCTGGATGATGGCCCGCATGTTATACTGGAACTGAAGATGCAAAACCTGCTTGCGGAATAGCTTCACCTTTGCGGAGGCCCGGCCCAGGAGTTGATGCATCTCGTAGACCCCGAGGGCACCCTCTCCCCACAGGCGACTGAGCATCGTCTCGGATCGCATCAGCCAGTCGCGCATGTGCAAGACAACCATGCTGGGCTTGTGGCCCAGGATCTCCTTTCTGACGGTATTCTGGAGCTGGTGACAGCCTTCAAAGAGAACCCGAAGCATTGCCATATCGCGGCGGGCCAGCGCATCGACCTCACTGCAGGCCCTCTTGATTTTGTCCATCTCATTGGAGAGCAGCTGGTGGACCAGCTCGCTGAAGTCCATGTGGCAGGTCAACTGGTGCTCGGAGTGTGCCGCGCCATTGGCGCAGCCGCGACACATCAGATGTCGACAGTTGTGGCACCAGGTCGTGTTCGGCAACCCATGGATCAGGCAATGCTCGCAGCTGTTGGTCAGGAAACGGTTCACGCAGACATCATCCATCCATCCAGCCATGGTTGCAGGCTCAGGGATGGGCTTTGCGGCTCCAGCCTCGACTGCTTGGGGGCTGGTGGGGCCCGCTTGCATCGCCATCATCACTTGTCCCAACTGCAGGGCCCTCAAGTTGCGTATTAAATACATGATGTACTCCGGTTCGGGCAGCATATCCGGCTCGACCTTGGTGCTCATTCCGCACCTGCCACAGATCCACTCTCGGCCATTGCAGGGCAACGACCACAGCAGCTCCTTGTCCAGGCAATCCCTGCAGTAGCAGTGCTGGCAGCTGAGCAACTTGGGCACATGTCTGCCCTCCTCTGAATAGAGACGCCCGCATAGAGTGCAGCTGAGCAGCGGCAGAAGCTCACTGGGTATGTCCATTCTGTCCGTCTATCTGTGGATTGCAAAGGAAAATTAGATCTCGATGGAAGATTCAAATATTCCGTATTATTACTCCCGATTTCCTATACTTTAAAGAGCGGTGGGCATGTCCTGGCTCCCTACTGCTCCCAGTCTGCCCATCGCTGCTTTATATGAGAAAAAACTAAATCCCTGAGTTGATTTGAATTAACTTTATATTTCTTCCACTGCTTAACCACTGGCTCACATATTCCTATTCTTCCCATTCTTGGTACCATTACCCGTCCTAGTACTCTGCCTCGTCTTGGTATCTACCCATTTATGTTAGTTAGCCGCAAGTTTCGTGCCTATTTGCATTTTAAAAATTTCTCTTTTAAGCTGTGTAATCAAACTTTGTTCGGTATTGGACACGATGAGTAAAAAAAATGGTTTACAAAATAAATTCAGCTGTTTTTCAGTTTGGCCAAAAGTGTTGTCCAACTTGACGGCTTTGTCTTTATAGGAACTTTTTTTGCATACAAAAAAAGAGTTTTAAACATCGGTTTTGAAACAGTTTTAACGTTTTCAATACGTTTTCAATTTTCAGCCGTTAAACTTCAAAAAGTTTTCAAATCTTTTTGAAATTCTTATAACTTATTATTATTTTTTTAATATTAATGGAATTTTATATGAAATATTAAAAGGGTAATTTATATGTGCTATTCTCCCTATTAAGAGTGAAAAATAAGTTGGTGTGCCTAATTAGCCCTTTTTCTGGTCAGTTTAAGCCCTGTTTCGCCTGTCGTGTGACAAAAGAAAGCAAACACGAGACCCAACCAAAACACGAAACCCAGAGTGACAGAGACGTCTGTGACAAATGTTGTTTGACCATTTGAGGTGACCTTCTACGGTTTAATGTTTTAAACACTGTCCTGTTCCCATTTCAGAACTTCTCTCGTTGCTGTAGCTCCTTCTTTTCCTCTCCATTGGACAGGGAAGCGCACGTTTCTGGCATTTCTTACGGCTATTTTGTTTTCTGTTTATTATTCACACTTTGAACTCTTTCATTTCTTTTGCTATTCACTTCCTATGCACGTTCCGCATCCCCTTTTCCTTTGCAATTATGGAAATCCTTTACGTTGTCTGCAGCTGCAGACTGCCATCATCAGCAATTACACTGTGCAAAAAAATTCGGCCATCAAGACTATTTTTCAGGTTCGGTACGAAGCAATGAAATCAAAACACTTTCAAATTTACAAAATTTGTCAAAAAGAAAGTCAAATACTCTATTGGTAAGCAGGTATTTGCCCCCATAAAACATTTGTTTCGTCTGTAAAAAGATCTGTTAAAATATTTCTAATCGAAAGAAAAGAACATTCCTGTTGCACAGTGTTCTATTTATTGGAGTGCCTGACACTCCACCCACTGTCCCACTCCTAAGTCGTTCTGTGCTTTGTCTCCTTTCAAGCACATTATATTCACGCTTACAGTCATGACTTTCCCGAGCATCCATCCTCTCGTTACCCGTTTTCTTGGTACATTTTTTGCTCTCCTTGCAAATATTGAAATTGAATAGAAATATGCCTTGTCAGAGGTTCGTGTTTTTGCCTTCTTTAGAGCCTTGACACAAATTCGAATTTATCGCCATTTTGCTTTACTTTTATTTAAATATTTCTTTTAACTTCCTGCGTTTCTAATACTCGAACTTATTTAGTTTATTGTTTTAGCAGCATTAAATTCAAAACGTTTTGTATTTTTTAATCATGAGCTCTGGCCCGCCCACATGCAATTGCTGGACAAGCTATTATTACTGTTTTTTGTATTAACAAACATACAAAAGAGAAGGGCAGATGACTAGAGGAGTGCAAGGGAGAGCTTCGAGTCATGGACAGATTGTCATTTAACATCTCTTTGTTGTAGGTTTCAATACCCTTTTCAGAGGGAATTCTAAATTTTTCATTACTGTGTGAGCATAATAGCAGGGATGTCTGTTTTCATACCCGATACTCGAAGAGTTTAGTAATATAATAATTTATTATAGACTTAAGGATATTTGATTTAGACACACACCCTTCGAACTCATACAAATATGTGTATTTTGTTATTGCATTTACGGCCCCGAGCCTCGGGCGCGAATACCTTTGGTTTCTTGTGCGACCTGTTGCCGAAGAATAACTCTCGGAGCGAAAGCAGTGGTTCGGAGCAATCCCGTGCCTCGTTATAGAAGTCGGAAATAAGAAAACATTATAGTAGGTATATTTCTTCTAACCGCACTTCATAAATCTGGTCAGTTTGTCATGGTATTCGTTCGTATATAAGGGTATCTAAATGTACGTCCCACGCAAGCTACCCTTCTTTTTGGTTTTTCTTTTGCCATTTGTACAAAGTCAAGAATAAATTAACAGCCTGTCGTTTGTCAGCATTATTCAAGCTTAATTCCAAACAAATATTTACCCCCATATATGTAAATATGATATGCTTAATGGTGGATAGATTTTGAGGCAAATGCTGCAAACCCTGTTATAACTGTTTCGTCTTTGCCTAGAATATTCATTAGGCAATTAAGTTTTCAACATTTTGAAGTGCTGCTCTAACTCCTTGTTCCGAATAAATTGTATTCCATTTCGACCGAATTTTGTTGCGGTGCGGTGGCGGTCGGCAAGGCACTTTGCTAAACCAGCAAATTTTCACATATTCAAAATAAACTAGGAAAACAAATGCTCTGTCCAACACGTGTTGTTTCTGCAAATTGCTGTTCGTGAGTTAAATGTTAATTAAACAAACTTTATGTATGTAGGTATTCGCATTCGCCCACAAAAAAACAAGATTTTATAGGTAAAAAGCAGATTATGGGATATTTATATCCCTGAAGCACTGGACCTTTGTGTCCAGAAGAAGTCTTGTTGCTATCTCTGTGGTTAATTATACATTTGTGGTAGCTATTTTATTTATAATTGTCCTGAGTTGACACTAATTAACAATTCTCGTTTTGCCCGAAGTCCATTTTCTCTCGTTTGTTCTTTTTCTTGCAATCATCTTTTATGTAAAAACATACATTATATTTATTTCCCACTTAGAATGCATTTTTTGCAGTTGCAGTTGAATAATTAAATATAAATATTCATGTTTGGATTATTCATAAATATTTTTCTGCTGGGGAAATACCTTTTTGTTGATTCTTGGAAATATGGCAACAAATATTGGAACAATAGAAAGGTAATGATAGCTTGATATTCGGAATTGGTAGATAAGTCTCTAATATCGCAACGAGTAATACGAGTATTTCTATTTAACCTCTCTGAGATTTCCCGCTGAAACTTCAGCAGCACTTTAAATATTTTTATAAATTTGTGGCCACAAGAGAAAAAGGATTATTTTCTATAATTTCCTGTCGCCATGAATTTTGTATACGTCTGTTGCACATTTCGTTGTCTGATGTTTTGCTTCCCTGAGAAGCGGCCTCGAGTCCCCTTTTGTCTGAGCTGAGAGCAGTTTTTGATGTTTGTGCAAATAAAAGCAGACGTGGAAGCCTTTTAATTGCTGATATTAAACCATCAACGGTTAGCGCATGCAATTCAAAACTGAAAATAAAAGTTTGCCGCTCTTGAAAAACGGAAAACCATTCACCATGGGGCGTATGTTTCCTACTACCACCTGGCCACCTTGCCTCTTGGGTCACAGAAGCCCAATGAATACGGCATAAAAAAGGTTTCTAACACGCATTTAATTAATATAATTTTTTGTTTTTTGAAATGGTTAGTTAAATTGAGCTTACAGAAAGGGCTTTGAAGACGGAATCCACAATGAGGGAAAAATTACAGCGATGCACTTCCCCCCAAATTATTCAAAAATCTTGACGAATGCTTTTCTGCACTCAAAGTACTACCCAGAAATGCGTCAGCAAAAACCAGGGCAAAGATTTAGCTTAAATTCATGAACAGAAGCGAAAGAATATCTGCACATCGATAAGCAATTTGTGGCCTGGCTTCGCACTTTTTCCCTGGACCCCATTGTCAGTTCTATTGGGCACTGGACTTGGTTTTATGTCTGCGCCTTGTGTCAGGCTATAAAAATGTATTACATGTTTGTGCGTCACCTTGGAGGGTCCGTCCGGAGGCCGTAGTCTGGAGGCAACCGCAACTTCCCCTTTGCTCTAGTTGCCATAAGCCGGGAGCTAGGGGCATAGCGATAATTGGTCCTTTCGATTTTAATGGCAATGCCAACGTGCAGCGAATATTCAGGCCCTATGAGCAAACAGTCAAACGTTTTTAACTGTGTTTTAGATTTACTTCTGAACTCTGAACCCAGGCCTAACGTATAAATTGGCAACCCAAATAGAAATTGTATTGTGTTGTGGATTGCGGTATTAAATATTAAGGCACCTATTTACCGCAAATAGCTCAAAATTACGGCTATAATAAAACAGCTGCAACCCCGAGAAAATATGGAAAATAGTTCACTTATTATTTTCAAGTCGAAGGACAACCAAGAAAATAAGGAACTAAAGGGGGAAGAATATAACGGACACCCCATTTGACACTCTGTAATTGGTATCCTTGGAAATGGCAGGCACACATTTCTAATTTTTCCAGGAAGTGCCAGTCTGAGCGGAAGTGAAATACCAAACCACAAACACCAGGATGGAAAGTCATTTGGCAAAATTAATAAACAGGAAAGAGTGAGGGTGCTCAATAGGACTTCAGTTGGCACAGTTGTCACCCATTTGCAAGGGAGCATATGTATTCTTATGTGTGTGAGTGGGTTTGTTGGGTTGCGAGAAGAGTTGACAAATAATTAGCATACTTTTGCGGGCAATCGACCTTTTTTGATTGATGGGGCCTGTGTGTGCGGCCCACAACGACGACGATGCTGCTGCCAGGCTATATTTATGTAAATTAGCCTTCAGCTGAAATCAAACCAAAATTTTGATTGATCTGAAATGTGGAATGTTCGGGATTTATGACATATGAATGCAAATACATCTAAGGAAGGTCGTATCTTGCAAAATGAAGCGCTTGATTGAAAATATAAAAGTAAATCAATAAATAATTAAATTCTGAGATTTTTGCACCGGATATTCATACAGTTTTCACTAAATTATGTTTAACATATAACATTTTGGTATAAAAATATTAAACTCAATATCTTCGTACTGCCTTTTTCAAAATACCCTTCATTCTAACATGTATTCTTCCGATCTGTATAATAATTTAAAAGTATTTGATTTGAGATTTGAGCTTTAGATAAAAAACTGCTTCGATTGAGAATTGTTCCCATATCTCCTCTCTCTTACTGAGTAACAAGAAACTCCATATTTAACACTGCTTGCACCGCTTGCTGTCGATTAGGCTCTATTTTCGAATCTTCCATTAAACTCTGCCTAAAACCAAAATCGCATCTGCTTACCTTATGCGTATGCACAGTTTCACTCCTTCACGCCTTTCAAAATATCGACAGAATAAAAACGATTTAATTGCAGTTTTTATTCTTTGTTATATTCACAGCAACCTGATTCTTTTATAGTATTTTATTAATTTTTCGCATAAATGTATGTTGTTTGGTCTCTCTGTTTTTTTCCTATCCTCTAGAGGAAAAATGCATCAAAAAATGTTCCTTAGTTGTGGCTGTTATTGCGATTATTGTTTTGGGCATTCGATTCCTCAACTCTCATTTCCAGTCTTTTCCTGTCTCTCAGTATTGCTTGGACACTGCTTAGCTCAAAATCCTCCGTTCCTGTGTACTTTTTTACCAATTTTTAGGTTAACTCTTTTCGTTTACACTCTTGGTTTGCACTCTCTCCCGGACGCACTATTTCGCCTCAGGAACAGTTATTAGTTGGACTATGTCTTGGGCTGCACTCGAGGACGGACCTTTTTTCATGCAGCTCTCCCACAAGCACTCCCACACTCTCTTTCACTTCTTTTTGCACTTGCAGGAGGCAGCTAAAGCTTTGAACATTTTACGGGCACTTTCACTTTTTGGAGCGATTTTCTTCTTTGCCACTGATCCTTGCTGCTCCTTTTCCTCTTCTGGCTTTTGCTGTGGCTTTTCCTGATGTGAAATTATCTGTGCTTCCCGTTGCTGTTGCTGTTGCTGCTGTTGCTGCTGTTGCTGCTGTTGCTGCTTTTGTTCTATTTCCTTCTGTTGGTCCTGTTGCTGTTTCTGCTCCTGTTGCTGTTGCTTCTGCTCTTTCTGTTCCTGCTGCTGCTGGTGCAGACGCGTCTTGAATGCTGCATTGCTAATTTGCCAGCTGTTTTTAAGGGAGCGGAGCGGCGGCTTCGTGTGGAGCTGGTGATAGTTCGGGGCTGCACTGGCCAGGGCTGCCGATGGCTCTGTGTTTGATGAGGAAATAGTGGACGAGGCCACTGCTGTCCAAAACATGTTTGGGTCTATATGGAGCTTCAAAAATCCAGCACATTGAAACCTCTATCCGACTGAGCATTTTCAACCGAATGGAATATGCATATAAAAAACGCAACAAAAATAGCAACACTTATTTCTAACAAAAAAAATATTTTTAGTTTTAACGCGTCGCGTGGGATATTTAAAAAATTCAGCTTTGGATTAAAATGCACAAATATTTTGACGAGGGTCTGTTCACGTTTTGTTGGAAAATGCAGTCCAGCGCAGTGGGCGAAGGCTTTTATATGAGCACCAGAACAGTGTGGGAACGAGCTTGCAAAGCTTTCGTTGTGTGGAGGAGCGCTCTCTCTCTCTCTGACGCTCTTTTTCAGTGTAGTGCCTGCCCAGCTGGTTCCAATGTCAATGTCAAGCTGTTCTCACTCTACCACGCGCTCGCTCTCGCTCTCTCTCTCTGGACATGCAAATTTCGAAGCAAAGCTTTGGCACCTAATTTTGATATCCCGTTGCACTGATTTTTGTATGCTGAATGCTTCTTAGAATAGGTAAAATATGGGTGCGCTCCTTGCGGATGGAGTAGCATTAAATCACCTGATTTCTTATTCATTGTGGAGCAACATAATGTGTGGTTGTAAAACTATTGAATCCTCGGCCCTTTGCGTGGGGTTTGCATCTTCGAAGTCTCACTTCTGAGAACTTTTGTATTTATTTTATATTTTTACATAAATGTTTTCCACGTCCACATCAAAGCAGAGGACCCTTGCTTGTTGTTGACTGCTAACCGCTGGTTTTTTCTTAGAGTTTGTATAAATAGTAATTGAGGGCTTCATTTATGTACACCTTGTGACCTATAAAACCTTTAGAGCCTTTATTTCCAGTGAAAAGCGGCTGTTGTTTCGTGGGAAACTATTTATGTTCTATTGTAAATTATCTATTGTTCTACTTAATGTAAGGAGGAGCAATAATGGCTGCGCTTGGAGTGGTTATTCTAATAGTGGATATCCCATCATCGGATTATTATTCTGGATCGTTCCTGCTTCCTTTCCAGTACCATTACCACACAGGAAACGAAGTATGTTTTTGGCGCCATTTGGTAGCCACTTTAGAGCCACTTGTTCTTACGATGAGGGCCTAGGTTGAGGGCCTTGCAATTCCTTCGAAGGAGGCTTCTATTAATTTTGGCTATTATCTTCAATCAAGCGTTTAGGAGTGTCGATGTACAGATAATAATATTCCTAAAGGTGACTGTCTAAGCTTAAAAGAGAGAGACCCTTTGGTTTTTCCCGCATTGATTGAATTATGCTGGGAATTCCGGTAAATCTGAGATATACACATAGCTATTCTTCGTGCCGTGCCCCCAGGTCTGTTGGGAGTCCATTGTTATGCGTGTGGCTCAACAAACTTGCTAATTGACAAAAGGTTAGCCCCAAGCCCGCAACCATGCTTGTGTGTAAAGTGGGTGGTTGGTATTCCTTGTATGATGGTCGACCTGTGGCCAAATGCAATTTGCATGCCTCGGCAGCACCAACAACAGCAACAGGAACAGGAATGAGGCGTGGCAGGAAGACTAAACTTGCAACTCAATTTAAACACGGAAATGGGAACGGGAAGGGGATATTTCCATAAAACAAAATTTTTGTGTGGCCCAGGGAATTCTGATTGAGTTATAGACGCACGCAACGCATCGTTTTCGGTATCATGGCTGCCTTCTCTGATTGATTTTGCAGCTCCTCGTATCCTGTCCTTGACGGTTGTCCACTGGCACCGCTGGCCGGTAATCTGCTTATCCATGTGCAACTATTGGATGGCATTTAATTCCAATTGGATGCACTTTGCATCCACCTTGCGTGGCCTGCCACTGCCCACTTTCGACTGCCCCCTGGCTGCACACTCACTGCGCGTGCACACACACACACACAGACAGAGAGAGCGGACACCGGAGCCACGACTTATTGACTCTTCTTCCTGCATCAAAGCAAGCATGTCGCCCGCTGTCGCTGTTGATGTCGCTCTTGCTGTCCGGCGACACGCCCACTCTTTGTTAAACTGAAATAATTGCGTTTTCCCATGGAACAGCGTTATTAAAGCAACTAACGGTCAGTAGGCGGATGCATCAGAGGCGTGGCACTGGACCCTAAACGTCAGCCTGGAACATTCATCAAACCTTTTTTGAACTGAAATTTCCATCTGATTGGATGTGACATTGGCCATTGGCTCCTGGCCAGTAATTCAATCAGACCTGCATCGGATGATGGTTAATAGATCTGACATTTCGGCGCAGGATATCGCTAATAGATTACTCGGCAAAAAAACAAAAAAAGTGGCTAATGGGTTTTTAGAAAGTCCAATGGAAAACTATGGACGAAATCTGGAGTGCACTCGGATGGCATGTGTGCCGTGTGTCGCGAAGGATAGTCTGCAGCTAGGGGCTCTAGCTTAATCTCTTGAATGCGTCTTATGACGCGGACAGGACTGTTGTTTGACTGACTTTGACCCCCTAACCCTGAATGTCTTGCATCCGCTTTTAGCCTGGTGCCAAGACCCACAGCAAACAGTCAGACGGCCTTGAAGTCCAGGCCAGACCAGGCCACGCCACGCCAGCCCCTGCAAGGAGAATACGGCCAAGCTAACAGGTTGCAGAAGCTTTAAGAGAGGAACACAAGAGAGAGAGAGAGTGGGTGGGAGTGGCCCGCCCACGGGGGGGATTGCGGAGGGGGAGAGAGCACAGCAGACGTCAGTGCGTCAGCAGGTCCTCGGTTCTGTTTTTTCCGTTTTAGATGTAGGTCAGGTCAGTGGGACATGCCACAATGCTAAAATACTATTTTTCTGCATATTTGCATCTGTTGTTCTTTTTTGTTTGCCCCGTTTTCAAGATGTGCTTGCAAATAATCCTACCAAGTGGGTTTTTATTGGCCACAACGATGGGAGAAAGGCGAGGAAAAACACGCACGAAGGATATTTGACCATTTGAAAATAGCAAAAAGTTGCCCAAAGTAGTTCCGATTTCAGTGAATAAAAAATGTAATATTTTAACATATATTTATCTTTGCAAAAAGGTGATATATCTTGGGAATTGGCAATATTCAAATAGATTTTTGTACATATTTTTACGGGCCTCTATCTGCGCGATACCCCAACATGCAATCGCCCATGCCCCACCTCTAATAGGTAACTAGTTGCAACGGCACGTACGCTGTCAGTCCAGTACCTGGCGGTACAGTGCGTTTCAGAATAATGAGTCTGTTGCATTTTGCTTTAATTCGTTTTACTGAGCAGGTATATGCCCATTATCTTCGGTTCTTAATCAAAATTGCTATCAATATTCTATAGAGGGACTTTTATTCTTAGTTAGATTTCATCCATTGCATATCACTCTGATAACACCTATGCCCTGCAATTATGTGCTCGTACTTACACTTTCTCGCTTTGTTTACTTTTATTTGTACGTACGCATGCAGGAAAAAGATCAATATGGCAACGAGGTTCAGCGTCTGGCACGTCCTCTGCCCGTGGAATATCTGCTGGTGGATGTACCCGCCTCTACGCCGGTTAAACCGCAGTACACGTTCACAAACTACGACAAGCGGCAGGCATTCCCCATCGAGAACCGATACATTGACGGACATCTGCAGGACTTTAGTGCCCTGAGCGGCTATCTGTCCGCCTGGGGCGAGGAGGAGTTCCTCGAGGCCATCTCCGACTTTCACTTGCTCGTCTATCTGTACAAAATGGACATGCTACCGCTGCGTCAGCACATGGCGTCACTGCTGGAGGCGGTGCGTACCAAGAACCCCAATCGGGCGGCCGACTTCAAGGGCGAGGAGGTGTGGAAGCTGCTCGAGTCCCTCATCCAGGCCAGTTCCGGCGGAAGTGGGTGAGTATTTTCCTCTCTCTCTCCAGTGAACCATTCCCCCAACTCATTTTGGTTCTCCTCCCACTTGCAGTGGCACCACCAGCTATCCCAGCGGTGCTGGAGCGGCCAATGCCGGTGGTGTGGCTGGCGCGGATGCAATGGATCTGGATGATAACACCTGGACGTGCAACCACTGCACATTCATCAATCGCGGCGACCTGCAATCCTGCGAGATCTGCTCGCTACCGAGATAAAGATCCGCTCCGCCGACCCAATAACTTTCCAACGGCATCCTGGATGAACAATTCTAAATTCTGGTGTAAAACAAACTAAAGATTCAATCATACTTATTTGTAGCCGCAGTTGAAAGGCCGATCCAACCACACACAAGACACAACAGCTGCTCGTGGATATGTCGCCCATTCTCTATATATATGTAAACGTCGTGTAAGAATTTTATAAAATAAAACAAAAAAAAAAATAACGATGGATGGAAAATAATTAATTTATTTTTGAATAAATTTAAATTGTTGAGCAGACGTTTAGTGTTTATTATTTGCTTCTCCAGAACCCAAATCCCCCATTTGTATCCATGAAAAGAAGAACACACAAGCTTTTATATATTTTGTAGTTTATTCAATCATTTTATTCAGCGCCAGTTGTCCAGCGCCAGTCGTCTTTAGTTTCCAAAAGCAGAGAAAGCATTTAATGAAAATTAAATTAAAATTTTAAATTTGTTTTCTTCAATAGTTGTGATACCTTTATTGAACCTTTTTCCAGTTAGATCTTTTAATAATGTTAAAGTTTTGTTAAAGCTTAAAAGCGAGTCCGAACCTTTCCAATATTCAACGAGTTTTGTACATATTTCCAAAAAGAATCTAAGAAACCTGTCTCGACCGATTTTTCATTGGTTTAAAATCGGGTTTAGTGATTATTTTTCCAAGGCCCCCATTGATTTTTAGTCGGTTTAGTCTCTGACATCTGTGGAGTTTGGTGAATCTCCCAAGAAATATTTTCATTCAACGGAAATGAAAAAGCTGATCAGATCCAGCTGATAATTCTCCCCCTAATCATTATGCCGCTGACAACTTTCTAGATTCAGTTCTATTCACCTCCGAAAAAAAAGTGTCTGCAGGAGGTATTTTTTCCGTGAATTATTGAAGTGTTCCAAATGTTTTTCTGGATATTACCCTACCACCACCCGACCCTACCCACTACACCGCTTATGCCGTTTAATTATAAGTTCTACAGTGTTAAGGTACTAATCGACGTAATTAAATGATTGTCCAATACGCAGACAGATTTTAAATAAAGGAACAAGAAACAGAAAAAATATTGATTTTTTATTTTGTGGGGACTACAGCCATCGGGGCTCCTAGATCTCCCAACACCTAACGAAATAAAATTACACAAATCATTTGTATATAGGAACCTTTCGGCATAGTTTGTGCACAGAATGTCAAAAGTGGCATAGCTCGGAAATCAGTATAGAACTAAGCTTCTCGTGTTCAACATTTTTGTTTATTACCTTAGCATATATATATTTTGGCTACAAAAGAGAAAATTTAGATTTTTTCTCATTAAAATTCTCGCACGATATCCAGCAAAACAAAAAGATATTTGAAATTACCCGTGATTGAAATTTAGTTTAAATTTAACAAATGGCGCATCGTATTTGGACTGTGACGATTAAGAGACATCCTCTGCTATCAGTTCCTACAATAAAGGTGAGGTCCAACCTGATGCGGACAGCAACTCCCATTTATAAGCCCACTTACTTTCTGTGATATTTAGATACTAAACGTCCAAGTAAACCGCACTCTAATGGAGAGAAGTAAGCACCACCTACAGACCTTATGGTATGTTGTTCTCATGTTCTTATGTTGCAGAGAATCTGCAACCGTTTTTCACAAAGCCAAGCGTTGTATTCTCAAAGGAGGCCCTCGCGCATCATTGGGGGGTAAGTGAAGGTCAAGTTTTAGTATTCCCAAGCGAAAATCGATGTACAAAAGTGTATGATATAGGTTGTTTCTATGGTATACGTGTCTACGCCAAAATAACGTGCCTCTAACAGACGCTTAGAGCAGTTCTAGATATTATGTTTATATACGAGTATAGATGGTATACTTCTAAAGAAAGATTCCATAGGTAAATGAGTGCTCAAAGTAAATGGTCCTACTAATTTGTGGGTGTGTGTGTGTTTATAGTAGGTGTTTTAACTAAAGATCTAATGTACCAGACTAACTACGCGTAAGACTTGTAAATACAAACAAAAAACTGGATGTGAGAGAGTGTGGAAAATGCACGAAAGAAAATGGTTTGAAACTACAGACCAAAATATTTTATGTGAAACATTTATTGTGGTATATATGTATATACGATATATATATATATATATATATATATATGTATACTATAATTCATAATATTATTACGCTGCGACATTTAAGATGAGTTTAGTTTCGAGTTTCGTGTGGATTCTGTGGGTCAAACAGCAAATTTATACGCAAATTTAAGTTTACACATTGCCAACGGATGTCTGTTTGTATCTGTGTGAATGAGTGTTGTGTATGTGTGTGTGTATGTGCTACGATCTAATATACTAGATATATCTATGAATACTTTATATAATTGTTTAAGTCCGTACTTGATAATAATAATATAGCTGTAATTATACTGCATAAGAAGCTAAGGAAACAGCATTTCAAATCGTTTCGAAGACCTCTCTCCGAGAAATCTCCCACGTTACGTAACATATTCGTTTTGCGGTATACATAATATAAATTTTGGTATTTCTTTAGTACAACTTTAGCACAAACACTGGCAACATAAAACTACAATTCAATGCTAAGTTTTCCGCACATGTAGAGTAGGTTTTCTCTTGAGTTCAGACACCCAACTATATAATACATATATCCGTATATTTGTCGTATATAGCATATATAATTCTGTATAGTATGTATACGGTTTAGCATTAAATTGGTTCATCTTTCAACACTGCGCTTAGGGTCTAATGTTAGCTTCTTGCATCGTAATATACATACATAGTTTTCAAGATCATGCATACGTTTCATATGTTTCTTTAAAATACAAATATATATATGTATGTATATGTATATGTATATGCATATGTATTTCTTGAGTTTGCCTCAACAACAACACATCGGTATCAAAGTTATATATGTATGTGTATATATATTGCTTATACGTTGTTTGTCCCCTCCATCTTCTATGTAGTGTATGTACGAGTACTATCTGTATCTGACTGTTAATTGTTGCTGATTCCACATGATTTACCTTTCGCTCTAATAAACTTTGAGTTCACACAAAAAAAGGGTATTGTCCGCATATGTATTTTCTTATATAGAGTTTTTTCCTTTTGTTTTTTTATTTGCCATCGGATCATGCTTTTGCCTTTTATGTATGCATGTTTGTGTTTATTCCTTAGATAACGCAACAGTTAATAGTATAATAATTTGAAATAGAAAGTGGGATAGCAAATTGTATATAGTATGTACAAATTAGAATGATCTAAATAAAAATGCCGAAAGTACTGCGCTAAAAGCATAATAATTATCATACAATAGAAAGGGTATAGAAAGTAATAACAAAATAAGAATCGATCAGATGCTACCAAAAGCAAGTACTCTTTGCATGTAAATTACTTGTATACTGTTATAGTCGAGTGTACTGCCGACTAAAAGGTACCCGATACTGATAGATATAAGGATTGAAACAGCCTAGGACTTGCCTTCACTTGGGACAATGATTGGTGATAGAATGGGAAAAGGAATGGGATAATATGATCGGAGCTCCCATCTAAGATTTAAAATTCTTTTTTAGATTCTTCTAGTGAAACGGACAGGTAAACAAAATAATTATTTCAAAATATCTATCGAGTACCGGATATTTCAAGGGTCAAATAAAAATATCTGTGGCTACTGCAAATGATTTACTTATGTATATGTCTTTGCAAATCGTAATCGAGATTACAGATGATGACAATCGTTTAATGTTACTTTTACGGTTACTTTTACTTTTACTTGAACGATATACCGGTTACGTGGTACGAAGTACGAAACGGAGAGTACATACGTTATACAAAGTACATTTTACAAAGTCTAATATGACGGTGGTTTCTAATTCAACTATCGACTAATTGAGTACCATATACATAGATATATATATATATATATATATGAATTAGAGCTAGTCTTAATGCTAAATATTAACATTACAGTACGTTATATAGACACCTTTTGTTTGGTTTTTAGGCTGTTAAGTGCATTGTACAGCAAAAATAATTGCGTGCAAACTACTACCCGGTACGGTACGATCAATTACAAGGAAATTACAAGGATATATGTATGTTTGTTAGTCATTCATTTGGTAATGGTCATTCATTTTGAATTTGAGAAATAAAATGCCAAGATTTTATTTGTAAAGATTTCTTTCACATTTCATTTATTCATTTCAATTCAATTCAATCAAAAAGGGGTTTGTAAGCCAAGAAGTTCTTCATTTGAAAAATTAGACAGGTTCGCATTATAATTTTATCTTTTGTTTTTGTATCAGCAATTGGTTTCATTTTGATTTTTCTTGGGTTTTGTCGGGTTCTTTTTTGGGTTCAAGGTTTTAGGCTAAAAAGAGAGTAAATACCGTTTACATGTCCTTTGTATATATATAGAAAGAATTAATATGGTGTCTGTTTATATGAGTGTCTAAACATCGCTACAAGTATAGAGCGAGAAATAGAGCGACAGCGTTACAGTTACAGTTACAAGTTACGAGTTACAGTTACAAGTTACAAGTTACAGTTACAGGGTGTTGTTTATATATAATATATCCGTTTTCTCATTACAGGCTAAACAAAGGATAACCATCCCATATATATCCGTACAATGTATATATGTTGGCTGCAAATATTACATTCAAATCTGTCTGCCAATCTACTGATAGCCAGATAGAGCCCAAAACTAAACTCAATTCAACGGGGGTTCGGGTTCCATACTGGTTTTGCTTATGGCCTAAAAGATATATCTCATATATGTATGTATATGTGAAAACTTATGGCTAAAACCTTCGAATGTTTTTACCAAATCGTTCAATATAATGCACTTGCTTATCGTTTACATAGTTTGGTTTTCTCGTACCTCAACTTTTTCCCTCACTTCTGGGGAGAAACAAATTTACAACAGTTTTGTTCAGAAGAGTGTTTTCTTTCCATCTTTGATTTTTATTCGGTCTAAACCATATGGGGGGAAAATGAAAGCCAAAAATCCATAACATCTCATTTTTAGTAGTTTTTCTTTCGTTTAAAATTCCTCGTTGCAAAAATTGTACTGATCGATTACGTCTAAGAAGAAGTTTCGCCAAAAGCTGAGCTCTCTTTTCCCCAATGAAATAATACTGGGTGCTAGACAAACCAAATCTCAATTTAACTCAAATGGTATACCCGAAAATTTACTCAATTTTTTCTCCATGTTAGTACTCTTGGTTTAAGAACTTTTGTCATTTCGATTAGTTGCTGGAAGACGAGTCTAAGTTGTGTGTTTTTTTTTGTATTTTTATTTTGTTCTTTAGGAAAGTTCTTAGCAAGGCTTCGCTGGAAAAACTTTCTGCTAAAAAGAATTTCGTTTGTGGTTTTACTCACCTCTGGTTTTATATTCTTTTTATACACACTATATGTATATTTAGTTGTTTATTTATAAAGGAAATCCTCTGTTGTATGAATGCATAAAAATTGAACTGGGTGTTGAATTCGTTCGTTTCGACTTGCTTTTCTTTTCAAAATATAGCTCAGTATAATTGATATGTTACGAGCTGGTAAAAGTAATCATCATCTGCTTTCTTGCTTTATGTATGTATAAGAAAACATGTTTCTCGTTTAAATATATATATTTTTGTTTCCTTTTAGTTTTGGTATATTTGAATTTGTTTTGTTTTTCGCTTAACACTTAAACGACTCTTGTTTTGTCTTTGATCTTAGCATTTCGTTAAGCATCTGAAATGAGCATAAATAGCCACCTTTCACTGCCATCTTAATCATTAGAATATATCAAGTATTTATATATAATTTTAGCAATTGATAAATATATAAGTAGCTTGTGGTTCAAAGCCCTTGAATACACTTGTCTGCATTGCTTCGAAATTATTTAACACGTTCACTTAGACATAAGTTCAAGCTTAACAACTAATTCTCAATAAATTAAACTTTATTTCAGAGCATTTTGAATGTGTTATATGTAAGTGTTTTTGGTTTTTATATTTTCCCGGTGTAGGCCGGGCAAATAATTGCTTTTAGTATTTATTGTGTACGTTCGTTTTGGTTTTATACGTTTTTTCTTAAATGTTTATTGTTGATTTTCCACTTTTTCAATATACTTACCATTTTCTGCAGTTACAGTTGTGGAGTGTTAGTTCTGTGTCTATGCACATCAATTGACTAGCTTGTTGAGAGTGTGTGTTGTGTGTTTTTGGGTCTTGGGTGTTCGGTGTTGGTGTTTTTTATAGCGCTTGGTTCATAAGGAAACTATAACAATGCCAAAACAATAAACAAGAAGCCAAAAAATGCCAAGTTGTCAACTTAAAAGATACTAAGTAGTTAAACTATTTCGATTTCGATATCAGTTTCGTTTTGTTTAGGATCTAATAACCTGATTTTTGGAATTTCGCTAAAAATTTGGTCCTCATTGGTCACTCAAATCGACACGACGACTTCCATTATGTGTTAATCTAAAAACCATATCCACAAAAAGAAAACTCGTTTCCTGTGACTAGACTGGAGAGATCTCCTCCTCCTCGTCACGCACAAGTCAACAAAGTTTTGGGTTTCGGTTTCGGTTTATGGGTATACTAATTTGAAAACTCTTTCGTTCGACGACACCATCCAATCCAAGTGATATGCGTGGTTTTTGTAGCCTTCACAACAATTTTGATTCTATTTGATGAAATGTTTTCTTCTGGTGTGTACGAGTACGAGTATACGTATACCAAAAATTCTACTCTTAGTATGCAATTTGACACATTTTGAGAGACGACGCCTCAATAATACAATTGAGATATATATATGTACATATAATATATAATTTTGTTGGTTTTTGGTTTTACTAATTGAATATATCACGGTCTTTCTAAATATCATCGCCTGTATGTGTATACGATATATATATGTATATGTATCTGTATCTTTAATCTGTATATACTATATGCATGTAAATATCTATAAAGTTTGTCGCCACTTGAGTTGATCGAGAGAACAATTCAACACTATCTAACCCGACTATACAAATTGCTAAAAACTGTTGTCCCATCTCAATCTCCAGGGAATCCATGGAATCCTCATTCCTTATCGATTATACCGTAGTATATGTATATGTAGTATAATTATAAGTACTTTGCTCAGTTTTGTTAGGTAATTTGGTTTTCGAATACTGACACTTGAATGCTGAAACACAGTTGATCTTATTGTCATATGATGTATGTGTGAGTACGAGTATGTTGATGTACATATGTAAGTATGCACGAGTAGGTAAATGCTAATGCCTTGCTAAATGCGGGGACTTCCTTCGGTTCTTTTGCGACACTACAACTGTGAGAGATGATAGTATGCAATGCAATGCAATGTACTATGTATGGGGGTGTTCTTGATGGCCATGTCTCTGCATACTCTTGGAGATTGCTGCTGTTGTAGTTGTATACGAGAGTATATAGTTTAAAAGATGTTACTCAATTGACTACTAAACATGTTTCATCATGCGTTTTGTTCCATATATATGTATGGTGTAGTATATATATATATATGATATATATATACATATATGTAGGTATGTATGTATATCTAACTATGTTGTATGTGTGTGTGGTAGTACACCTAAAATTAAAAAAAAAGTAACCAAAAAACTCCATTTCGAGCTGTGTAATGTGGGTCTATATTACAGAAAGTTGTTGTTCTTGGCCCAATGAATAATGAATGATAAGTCAACTATTTTATTTTTTTGCACTGAATTTAGGAAACTCTTGAGACGACGCTACACGAGACACGAAAACATAGCAAAAAATTACCGATTCTATTTGAGTTTTGTTTGGTTATCAAAAAATATATATAGAATATGTATATGTATATATTCATAGAGAGAAAGAGAGAGCGCTATAATAAGTACATATGTTCGATCTGTTACTACATTATCAAAATGAGCAAGCTACTACTTTGGGTATATATTTTCGGTACGGTACGAGTATAGAACAGAAAAAAAAACATTTCATTGGATGTAGTAGTATTGGTATTGGATGTTGATATTTTTTGTTGCTTATGTCGAATTCAGACGAATTTAACGAACGGTTTACGAGTACAAAGAACTAAGAATTGGGCGACAGACGACTCTCCGGTCCCACTGCTAAATGCTGAATGAATGTTTGAAGCATACGAAATACGAAAGGTATACGAAATGATACTAAGTACGAGAGAGTATTCTTCAAAATATTACAACTATGAGAGCATTTTTTGACTTCTTGCGTTTTATCAGCTAATTGAAATAAATCGAAAATGCATTAATCAAATAATCAATATAAATATAATTTTATTTGGTTTTTGGTTTTGTTTTATATAAAATATATGTCAATAGAACATACATATGTAGTCATGGTGTGTGTGTGTGTGTGTTTTGTAAAAAAAGGAATTGTTTTTTTTTGCATAATTTCGTTGGATCGGCAGGACAATCTCAATCTTAGGCTAAAAGCAGTGGTAGTTCTGAGATCGAGATCTGACAGACGAGGGGTGTATACAAAAAACATGATATTAATTATTATTATTGATAAGTAAATAATGGCACCATAGCACGTGTGGAATGCGTTAGAGTCTTAAGCGTTAAACAATAAATAAATAAATAAATAAATTAGTAGCTGCCTGTGGATATGGGAGTCTCGAATCCGTCCAGCAGTATGTGAAATGAGTTGAGTTTCGGTTAAAATTCAATATCTTTGGTATACGAAATGATAAATACATACAACAATACTCACCCCTCCTCCAGGCATTTAACTACAAGGACAGGGATACAGATACGATCCACAATATCTTTTCTTATTGTACTGGATGTTTCAACATCTACACATGGGTGAGAGAGAGGAGCAGAGACAGAAGAGGGGGAGACATAGAGAGCAGAGCACAGCAAACAGATACAACAGATACAAGAGAGTCAAATAATACAATCTATAGCTAAAGATACATATATTGTATGTGGATCAAATATGTACAATCGAACCAAAATCAAATCATAAGAAAACACAAATGGTTTGCTCGAATCATTGGCAAAGTTTCGGTTTCGTTTGTTTGTTTTTTATTAAACACAAAATTACTTCAAATGTTTCTCAATATAATGTGTGTGTGTTTCTGTATAGGTGTAGGTGTAGGTGTAGGTGTAATGTAGTATATAAACTAGGTATTTACATACGCAAATATTACTTTCCAAAATGATAACTAAAAACTAAAATTAAACTTCATGCAAGCGAATCAAATATATGAAACAAATACATAGCTAGCCAGGAGCTTCAATGTCTCCGGATTCCTTTATCATTTCTTTTCTTTCTTGCTTCTTTTTTTTTGTTTGTTTATGGATGAAGTATTTGTCGAATGCAAAACTCAAATGCAAATGCTACAGGTAAAGATAATTACAAAATAATAATTAAAACTAATATTGTGCCATTGATAGAACAACAATAAACTACGACAAAATTAGGTGTTTTTACCTGGTTTATGAGTGGGGGGATGGAGTTAGATGGATAGATTGGAAGGAGAAAATGTGGAAACAAAATTAAAAGAGACTTGCTGTTGCTGTTTCGAGAGCACTTCCGTCTTCCGGGGAGTGCTTTGAGATGTGTACACTACTCATCAAACTCATCCAAAAATCATAGTATGCAAGTGCCAAAAATGATTACGATTATACAGTTGCTACAAATGCTCGAGGGTTTGAGTTGATTCGAGACTAAACTAGATCTATAAACTAAATCAAATCAAATAAAGAGATAGAGAGATTCACACACACAGTACGCAAATCATAGGAGATTTGTTCGTTGTTTTTTGTTTGTTTGTAGTATTATTATTATAATGTTTAAGTACACAGAACAGAGTAAAGAGAAGGGATAGGTTAAAGATAGTAGTGGCAATGTGTCTGGGTGGTGTTTATGGGTGATGTTTGGTGTGTGTTTCTCTGGGGATGAATTAAATTCGAGCTCAATAACTAAACTAAACCACTAAAAATAATAGTTTATGTTTACGTGTGTTTGTGTGTTTTAGTTGGTTATATTTTATGTATATTAATTAATTTATAACTCTTTGTCTTGAGCAAAATGTAATTAATACTGCATTTGCAGGAGTTGCTTCTTTCATTCTTTCGTTGAGTTCTAGGCCTCCAAAAAAATACACATTCAATTAACGAGCGCCTTTTGGTTTTTTTTTTAAATTTAGTTTGTTGCTTGGTTATATGAAGATTCATCATGCCTTGCTTTTGCTTTCATTATATGTATGGTTTTTTTTATATTTACTTTTATGTTCTGAGTTTTTATGTTTAATGTTATTTTCTTATTTAATTTTTATGTTTAATGTTTTGTTTTTATATTATGCACTAAAAAATTATATATATTAACGGCTACATTTAAACGCAATCACAATCGGTGGTTTTTTAATGTGTTTTTTTCTTGTTTTTCTTCGTAATTTTTGCTTTTTGGTTTGAATTTTGTTTTTCCTTGATTTCGCTTTGCTTTTCGCTCTTATTCTTTTTTTCGTTTTTTTTTGCTGTTGCTTATATTGCTTATGATTTGTTTATGTATATATTTTTATAATTAGTTATAATATTTATTGAGCGCCTTCGCGAGCGCCTTAAATATAATACTTAATATGCCATCTGCTGCTGCGTGAGGGATCTTCTGACCTCTCTACGATCTAAGCCGAACTCAAAGGAAAACCAACTTCAGATGAGTGTCTCGATGAGTGTGTATGAGTGTGTGTGTTCTGGGTTATGGGTTATGGGTGTATGAATGTTTTAATGGGGCTACTACTAGGGAGTGTGTGGTGTGGTCTGTTTCATTCAAATTACCAAAAAAACATAGCCCTCCTACTCCTAAGCTTAGACATACATGCCCATGCCGTACATGGCACTCCAGTCGACGCCCTGGAAGCTGGACATATCCACATTGGCCAGGGCGTAGTTGGAGTAGGCAGCCGGATTGGCGGCCGCTGCCAAGGCAGCTGCAGATGCGTTCAGTTGGTTTCCACCGGCTGCCACAAGGGCCGCCTGCTGGGCAGCTGCCAGGCTATGGGCTCCAGCAGCACCGGCTCCGTTCGCGGCATTGGCCGCCAGGGCAGCGGCCGCGGCGGCGGAGTGGACCTGCGAGGCGGAGTTTGAGGCGGCAACGGCAGTGTGGTGGTTCTGTTGTTGCTGGTGTTGATGCTGGGCCGCTGCGGCCATGGCGTGGGCGTTGTGGGACTGCTGGTTCTGGTGCTGTTGCTGCTGCTGCTGATGGTGGGCAGCGACGGCGGCGCTCTGCGCCTGATGGGCCTGCATCAAGGCGGCGTTGGCAGTAGCGGCGCTGGCGGGGATCGAGTAAGGTGCATACCTATTCAGGACGAGACACAGATTAGATTCCACACTGAAGAGTAGGCTGAAGGGAGGACTTACCTGACATGTTGCAGCGCAGTCTGTGGATATGTGGCTAGCAGCTTGCCAAAGTTCGCGGGATTGGCGGCCATCGAGGCGGCGGCGGCAGCTGCGTTTTGTACTTGAAACGGATTCTGGGATATGAGGGCCTGTTGGGCAGCGGAGGCCGGAGACTGCAGCAGCTGTGTGGGATTCTGCAGCATGGCCAGGGGATTCATGGCCAGTCCTCCTCCACGGGCCCCGATCAGCTGGCCGGGTGCCGAGGGCAGCTGTACGCCCAGGCTGCCCAGCATGATGCGCTTCTGTAGCAGCTGGGCGGCCGGTGTGACGGACTCCTTCGGCTGGGCCTTCTTGCACTCAACCTTCTTGTTCTTGATGGTGTGGAAGTGGATCTCGCAGACGCGATCAACCACATCCTCGTTCTCGAAGGTCACAAAGCCGAAGCCGCGATGGCGCTTCGTCTGCTGATCCATCAGCATGACCGTCTCCTCGACGGGTCCGAACTGTGCAAAGTAGGCCTTGACCTCTTCGGCCGAGGTGTCCTGGGAGACGCCGCCCACAAAGATCTTCTTGGTCTTGTTGGCCTGACGGGGGCGGTTCTTGGGCGTGGCATGCTTGGGGTCGATCTTCTTGCCGTCGAGTGTGTGGATGGGCACCTTGAGCACCTTCTCCACGGTGCAGGGATCTTGGAATGTGATGAAGCCAAAGCCGCGACTGCGCTGTAAGTGTAAGTCGATTGTGGGGGAGAAAGACAAGAGAACACGGAGAGAGGTTAGCACACGGGGAATATTTTCGGGAGATAGAGAGAGCTGAGAGAACTGTGGGTTAGAGGCGGCTAAGGACTAAGTTGCAAATTGTATTATTATAGTATAGCTAGGATTAATAGTCGTAAAAGTTCCTACGAAACGTTAGCAAAAGTCCAACAAAGTAAGAATCAATCGATCGATCAAAGTCTCGATCTTCCACAACGTATATAAAAACGTATATATAGTAGATATATGTATATGTAACGCACACAGATACAGTATATAGTATGCATGTTTATGGCTTAATCGACTGAATTGGGCGTGGCCATTGTACGCTTTCTTTTCGCATCAAATTTGCATTATTTTTTGCCTCTTAAAACAACGAAAAACAAGTGTCAAATAAATTCAAATCCAAAAAACAACACAAAATATATGTTTCAACTAAAAACTATAATTCGCTCTAAAGATACTTTTGCACTGTTAACAGAATGTATATATATATATTCATTGATTGATACGCAAGTAGATCGATCGTTTGCTAAGACTGGAACATACATATATCATAGAAATATTACGATATGGTTTGACCCCTCTAGAAACCCAGGAACTGTAGATGTGGGAGTGGCTTAGTAGATATTGTATGTACACGAAACTGGATACCAAAAAAGATTCACGTACACGCTTTTTTCTCTGAATACGAACTCAAGTGTCAATTAAAAGTACATATTGTATGTGGCAATTACTTACATATGGTGTATGCGGATAGTAAGTAGGCTTTAATATATTTGATATGTACGGAGCACTGCGCTTTAGAACTATAAAATCACTCGAATGTTTCCATAAGTGGAAGGACACTCATTTTTTGTGCTTTTTAGTTGTAAAACGCACTGGTTCAAGGAATACGTTAAGTAGAAAGAGTGGAAATGCTCTATGCGAGTATGTGTTCTAATTTAATGGCCTATAGCTTTTCGGCTTTCATATAATTTTTTGTTTTTTGCCATACAATTTCTGTTTCTGTTTTTTTTTCCTGTTAGTTTTACTTAAATGTTACTTAGTAGTTTTTTACAGAGAATGAGAGAGTCTGGAATGTGTGATCTTCGCTGCTTAAACTAATTAATAATTCTCAGTCATTACATATAGTACAATATAGTGGGTATACAGTTATTGCTTAAGCCTAGGGCAGTTCAGATTATGGCTCAAATACAATTTATATAGTACATTAATCCAGAGAGAGAGAGAGAGATAGAGAGAGTAATGAAAATCTATGCGACTACCTACCTAAAGAATATATAAGTATACAATATATGGTGTGTATGATCTATGTGTAGTTTAAACCTTCAAAAAACTTTAGTATTTTCAATATAGAGATCTTTAAATCTTGACTTCTCGAGGTGGGTCGGACGGGAAGGGTAGAAACAACTATCTACAGGTACATATGTTAAGACCTAGAGATTATATCCTAGAAATTTCGATTTGAACTCAACATCTGTACTTTATTTTCGCTATGGGTAATATTCTAAGCATAATTTTCAACTTCCTTTTGGCCAATCAATGGGTTATATAAGGGGATCTCATGATCCCAAGAACTTAAAAGCCATCAACATAAAATAATAACATATTTTCCGAACTACACAACTAAAAAAATAATGTACATTTATGCTTATGGGTATGGTAAAATTATATGATTTTATATGCCAAACCAAAAATTATAAAGCAAAAACTAAACACAGAAACAATTTCGCATAAATTTAAAAGAGTTATACATATATATATAATAATAAGGTCTAACGATTACGGGGGGTATTGCAATATACAAATATATTTATTATGGTATTAAGCTAGGGCTATGTTCTTATTTATGTTACACAATCAATAGTTCAATAGTTGCCAGGACAATCTTCGATTCGATTCGATTCGTCGTATTGCTTCTCATTCTCGGTTCTCATATTGCTGCTATAAATGGGGTGAGGGTGGAATAGTATGGAGGGATGTGGGTATAGTAATATTAGGGTAAACCTCTTTCAACTAAAGTTTGAATTGACTTCTAGATTTTTGTAACTGTGACATGGGTGGCTATATAGTAAAATGGCAAATTTACTCGTTAGTTTTTTGTAATTTCTTTCAAGGTTTTGCTTAAGATCAATGCGTATGGTGTTTTTTTCTGGGTGAGATAGAAACACTAAGGTAAACCAAGGACACAATACGGAGTACAGATTAGAGGTAGAGTACGTGGTACGAGTACGAGAGAACGAGTACATTCAATTAGAGATACGAGTACAGTTATGCAGTTATTATTATTATTATTGCTCAGAATTATACGAAATACGAGAGTTACGATGCGCCAGCAGTTTTTGAGTAATTTCAAGTACGCTAAACGTTCTCATTTATACAGTAGTTAGGGTATTTGGCGATTCATTTTGTTTAGGGTTTTTTGGTTTGGAATGAAATGTACCTAAGCGCCAGCTCTCGGGATCGGATCGGATCATCATCATTATCCTCATCCTGGTTGTTTGATTGCCATTCCTCCTCTCCGGATGGGTTCCAACGTTGTCCTTCCTCACTTTTGGGGGTTCATTTTTGGTAATTGTTGGTATTTTTTTTATATTTTTTTTTGTTTTTGTGTGTGGATTATAATTATGTTATGTTTAGTATGTTCATACGAGTAGCACATTCGGGGAATTTACTGCATAGACTAGCTATATAATTGATAAATCTTAAATGCTTATAGACTAGGGCGGCAATCTAAGGGCAATCCCCTTCCCTTATCAGCCAGGAGTTCGTTTCAAAAACGAAGACCCGAAACTTAGATCCCAACAACTCCAAAGACAGTTGGTAAACCAGTTTTCATCTTTTCTTTTTTGTTGTTTCTTCCACTTCGTTCTTTTGTTTGGTGTCTCTTCTTATTTTAAAGGGGGGGAAAAACAAAAGGTGTTTTTTTGTGTGCTCCTGTAGGTACAAGTATGTGTGTGTGTCATTCCTTGTTTACTTGCGTTTACGTATGAGAGAGAGAGAGAGAGGAAGAGAGAGGGAGGACGGAGGGACAGCAACCCCGTTAGTCAAGCGGCACAATGATCATCATTATTCAGAGTGGAGTTGTTGCCGCTGCTGCCTTGCGAATAAAAACTGCCCCGTGGGAAGGGAGTAGTTGTAGTTCCTCTGGTTGTGTAATTGCGCAATTGGCTCTCGGCTCAGCAGCAGCGGCAGCGGCAGCAGGCGAGAACAGCGAAACTACCCTAAGCCCACGGTCCCCACCTTTCTGTATTGTATTGTCCTGTGCCATAACCTGAATTGAATCGCGCCAGCGGTCCCAGGATCGGAGGAACAGCTGCGCGCAAGCAGCTAGCGAGGCAGGCGGACAGGACTCGTATAATGCGGCAGCTGCTATTTTATTGCCCGAAAAGCGGCGCGCGTTCACCGATGGGGAGCCACAATGAATGTATGTACATACATATGTGTGTACATACTATATAGGATGTGTGGATATTGTCCGCTTATCAAGCGGACAAATTGCTTAATGCATTAATGCATTCTGAAAACCCAATTTCCGTTGCAAGAGGCACTGTACAATTATTCTAAGAATGTTTGAAATGTATTCAAACGTTTCTCCAAAAATGGAATATGGATTGGTAATTGTCAGCAAAATGTTTTTAACGCATTTATTTTTTCTGCAAACGTATTTTAGTTAATGTTGTCATATCTTAATGATTTCGTAAGGTGTGAAATTTTATCATCACGACTTGGAGCTGATTTCCTTTAAATTTTCGAGCTAGGCCACACTTTGGCAACCCTAGACATTCTGGATGGTAACAGCTGATTGGTGCAGTACAAAACACTTCCAGAACGAATATTTATTCAGTTTATTCAAAGTTTCCTGGCATATTCAATTTAGTGCTCAGTCACAGCATCCATCCCCTATAATCTACTCATCTTACACGATCTGCATATGAAACCTGATTTACGCCCTCTCTTCTCTCTTCCTTTCTTATCTTTGTCTTTTGTTTTTGGCACGTAACCAAAAAAAAACTGTAATTCTAAACCTCTGCTTCTGTGGTAGCAGCGGCAGCGCCGCAGCAGAGAAGACTGCGTTTGTGTGCGTGCGTTAGAGGGGGAGAGAGCGTTTTAAGAGCAGAGCAGACAGACAAAAGTTTGCAGTTTTGCAGCTGTGCAAAAGGAATTGAGAGAGATGGAAAGACACATGAGACATGAGCAGACGGACCAAAAATTGTAGCTGTAAAACAGAAAATCTGTGCAAACGTAAAAACGCAAATAAACAGGCCGCTGCCGAACGACAACGACGAACAATGGCACCAAAGGAGAGGAGATTACGAGAAAGGTAGAAAATAGACGTAGTAGAATGTGAGGACAAAAGGAGGATAGGATAGGATACATACATATAGAATAGTAAAAGAATAGAAAATACCAGAAGCATAGACTACATTCTGCTTACCTGGGTGACGGGATCCTTCATGATGAGGACATCGGTGACGGTGCCGAACATGTTGAAGTACTCCTTCAGCTTGTCGGAGGAGGTCTGCCAGCTGAGGCCGCCCACGAACAGTTTGCCCGGGGCCGGATCGGAGCCACTGCCGCCAGTCAAACTGGGAGTGGAGCGACCCGAGGAGCCGCTCTTGTTGCTCAGATTGGCCCCTCCTCCACCACTGCCATTCTGTCCGGCCGCCGAGGCGTTCACGTTCTCCTTGAGCAGCGCCAGGGCAGCCTGCTGCGCAGCGACCTGCTGCTGCTGCTGGGGATTGCCGCCCCCGTTGGCGGCGTTCTGTGCTGCGACCTGGGACTGATCCTGGCCGGGCGCCACTATGGAGCCCTGTGTCTGCTGTTGCTGAACCTGGGATTGCTGCTGCTGCTGGGCAGCGGCGGCGCTCTTGAGCACGGCAGCCGTGGTCAGAGTGCCATTGATGGCCGCCACACTGTTGTTGGCTATGGAAGCGACCAGGGCGTTGTGCAGATCAGGATGGTGATGGTGTGGGTCGATGAGGCCGGCGGCGGCGGCTGCTGCTGCAGCGGCAGCGTTATCCATGGGATTGCTGCGGGCAAAAAAGAAGGTATCGGCGGTAAGTAGATCCTCGCGTGGCTGGACCGCAGCCGGAGGCGGCGGAGCCGCATGGTGCAGCATGGTGGCGCCTTCCTTGAGCGCGTGCATTTCCTGCTTCAGCTGAATCTTGAAGGCTGTTGCGGTTCAACGACGGGATATACGATTTTTCGCGAAAGAGGACTTTAGCCCTCGAGTTGTTTGTGTGGTTTCTAGCGCTAACTTGACTACGTTTTTCTATGCGTTTTCCTTCCTCTGTCTGTTGCCAATGGCAATGCCTGCTAGGAGTTGGTTTTTTTTGTTTTTTCGACTTCAACAAGAACACGAATTAATGCGAATAGAATGTTAATAAATAGAACTAAAACAACGGTAACGAAATGTCCACTCAGCACGACACTTGAAAATTTATTTCTTTTCTCTGACTTTCGTTTTCTCTGTTCTCTGTTTTCACTGTTGTCCTTCGGTTGCGACTGCGCCGTAGGGTTGTTTGACTATTTAATATTATATTTGATTCGATATATAAAAATATTCTTTGGTAATAATAAATTTGAAAAAAATTGGACACTCTTTCTGTTGTTTCCTTTTCCGCGGCCGTTTTGAAAATTGGCGGTTTTCAAGAATTGGCCTTCTATATACGTCACGCCGGCGACGTCACAAATGTTGCTATGCTTCCATGTTGCTGGGAAGTTGTACTCATGTTGCTTGCAAACAGGTTTATTATTGTTGAATATCGAAGTTTCTATACCCTATTTGTCTAGTTGCCTTTCAATAAATGGCCCTCAATTTACTAATTCTCTTTCTTAGAACAAGTTTATTGTATCTATTCCTGTAAGGCAAGTTTTGCCTTACCGATTTTTAAGGGTATTTTAATGTGGCTGAATATTTCATATTTGTTGCGTGAATCGGCAAACGAATTTAACCCATGTAGCCCCCCATGAGTATTTTAATATTTTAATAATAGGAAGACAACGGGTTAATTGTTCTCTGTTCACGATCGAAAGTCATATTCCTTTATTTTGATTTTCGGTTCAATATTACTAGCTAGCTAAAACCTTTACCCCATATCCGATTGATAATTACATTTTTTATAAGATTGGTTAGATTGGTCTCTTTTAATGGATTCTGTCTACAATAGTGTTTAAACAAATAGGTCAGAAAAAAGGAAGGGAAAATCTCAACAATCTGATACTAACGCTAGATCTGCGCGCCAAAGTGGAATTTTTTGAATGAGTAAGTGAATGCAATCTAGTCTCTGACTTTCTTCTTCTCTTTTCGTTTTCACTGTTATCCAGCGTTGGGATCGCGTTAAATATAGATAAATATTCTGGGGAGAAATTCGACACTATTGTTTCCTATTAGATTATTTGTTGTTGTAAAACGTCTAGATGTTGACCGATCAAATCGATATGTTAAAATTAGTTTAATATGTTACGTCGCATTAGGGTATATACGCTTACTTTATTGGGTATGAGTGGCTGCGTGGGGTCAAGTGGCAACTCGTAAGTGAGTACAAAACGATGTTGAAAATGCCACTTGAGATGTATGAAAATTTTCACCTAATTTTAGATAATTTATGATAATAAAATTACTCTTTATAGAGAACAAGGGTATATGGAACACCGAAACTATCCGTTCGTGTAATATCATACACTATCATATTTTATCCCACAGGCAGTACCCATTGTAGTGATCACATTGGTTGGATTTACCCTGGAAGTACTGTCCTGGATTCGCATAGCCGTTACCCGGGATGATGTGTGGTGGACCAAGCACTCGGGAAATTGCATGTTTGTGGAGACCCGCAAAGGGTATCCCGCGCCCAATCGCAAGGTAAGTGGAGGCAGCCCCACACAATCGTAATCGCCCACTGGACTCTAGACCATAATGTTCTCTGCAGTTCTTGACATTCAATCAGAAATATGAGACTCCACCTGGACTGATTGAGGCCCTGCAGGGAAATACGGATGGTCCTTCGAGTAAGTTCTCCATAGATCCAATCCAGTCCAAGAATGAATGGATTTTCAGCGCTTCCTTGCACCTCTCTTCACCCATTCATTGACCAGCGCCACGGCGCAATTTGCCGACGTTCGGGGGAGGCGTTGAAAACGTTCATGTAGTCTCCGTAGATGGGCCAAAATTAATGAGTACAAATGTTTCTTTGCTTTTCCAGACGAAGACGAAAAGGCCGACAAAGGTAGTGGTGGGGGCACTAGTGGCAAGAAGATAGCAACCCATGTCATTCTTACCGGTGCTGCCCTCGGCGTGGCCGCAGCCGGTGCCGTATACTCGGGAGCCATTTAGAACTAATAGAATTCATAGAATAGGTAGATGGTTGCAAGGAAGCGCTAAAGATCCAAGCCGATCAGAAATCGCACTAACCCATCATCCCATTCCCACAGATGATGAAAAAAACACCAAAAAGTAGAGGAAAATGGCTTCGTATACGGAGGGGTTCAGATCCGCTTCGAAGTCGTATTTATAATCCTATTATCAGAGATCATTGGATAGAATTGTGCTGCGACCGTATGATTATACTGGGCAACTGTAAAGAGCAACAAAATTTCAAATAAAACGCCTAGTCCGCGACAGGACATATCATATTAAAAGTGAACCTGTTTTCATTGACCTCTTAATTCAAGTACACGCCAGGAAGGAAGCCACAAAAGTAGACCACCATACAGGAAGGAACAAGGGAAAGACCACAAGAAGAAACCCCTCGTTTCATTCGTTTTCAGGAGCTGGATTTTGTGTGGATGTCGATCGACACCAAAGTGTTGGTAAACGGATACCCAAAGATATCTGTAAGCTTATCCACCTATTTGCATTTCTTTTGGACGTTACTGCGCCACGAGGCGATATGCAGTCCTTGTGCATGCCACTATTCCCCGCCGCTATGGCCGCTGATGCCACTTCCTTTTTTATAGCCCATTCAAAATTAAGACTATTTTTTTCGTTGTTGGTATGAGCCGAACAGCAGTTCAGTTAGCCACCTCCCCCACCCATCCAGTTAAATCATGTTCTTGTTTATTTTAACGTTGCTTTCGAAATGCTGCGAAACTTTTCGAAAATATACCAGAAAAGCGCCACTGCTGTGTGAGCGGTGTGGCCGTACCAGGTACCAATACAGTGGCGCCTTGTAGCGGCGAAAAGCTGCATCACGAGCTTGCGCGCTTGGCCAGCAGGCGGCGGTAGTCCTAAGAACTCGAGGAGGACATGTTGCACGTTCTCCACTATGCCTGTGCCACACTTGGGGATGCGGAAACATCCAGTAAAAATATACCTGGCCGTGCTTCCTTTCGACCCAGCTTGCTATGCGCGGGATGAGGATGTGCGTCCAACGCCCACTGGCCGAGCTATTCCATCGGGTCATCCATACTTCCGGCACTTCCTTCTGGAGGCGTCCTAGGACGTCCGGAACGTGCACGATATCCTGACGGCGTTTAATCGGTATGTTACCTCAATTCCTCGTATGTAGCTCCTCACAGTTGCGGCTTCCGCCATAACTTGTGCGGTGTACAGCATCTGCGACGTTACTACACTCGTCAGCAGCTTCGGATACTGGTGCCCAGAAGCATCCTGGAGAGTGGTCCCGCGTTCCCGATAGCCTTCCTGTGGACGTACCCTGTGGACGTGTTCCCTAAAGGTCTGGCGAGTGTCAATAAGGACTCCCAGATATTTGATCGCCCTCCGAGACTGGATGGTGGACCCTACAACCTGCTTTCTGGCAGTTTCAACCACTCTCCGGCTTGGAAGTGTGTGGGTGTGTGCAAGGTGTTTTTATGTAAGGTGAGGCGTAATTTTTTGTAATAATATCTTGTTATGTGTGAACGCAACACAAAATAGAGAACAGAACGCGGAGTACGCAACTCGAAGAGGGAATATAAATGCCTTTCCTTTTACCTATATACCCTGACTGTCTGCATGTGTGTGTACGTGTGTGCAATCAAAAACAAATCGTGGCAGCGACGCCAACGTCGACGGCAACGCAGACGCCGTGCGTTATTGATTTTTGGCAGAGGGGAAAATAATGCCAAAGGATATGAAATTTATTAAAATAGATTGCAAAATAATTCAATGAAGATGTTGAAAGGCAAACAGCAAACACACTCCCCACAGCAGGGGCGAGGGGATGCCGTGTGTATGTGTGTGTTTGTCGGTTGTTGAACTCCTGGCAGTGGCGGTGGCAGGGAGGATGGGAGTTTCCCGTCGTCTGCAGGACTTTTTTTGCCTTTATTTTAGAAGACGTCTGTCAATTTTATGGCTACTGACCCAGAAAAATGGAATATTCAAGAAGACTTTCAAAACGTGGGGATCGTTGTCAGGCGTGTCCCTGGCCGAGGGGGGGCTATAGAGGTATTCCTGGGATGGGGGAAAACGACCTGTGATACGATGGATTTGCCTGTTAGTTGGTTAGGAGGGAGGGAACAACGGAAATGATGATGTTCTGGATGACATCAGCAGTCGGCACCCCGCTTTATGTAATTCGATTAGGAGCACTTACAGTCCCCTCTCTACCATTCCCCATCACTATTATACGCTCCTTCATTCCACGTTACCCCCACCACGAATGCCTTGTATTTTAATTGCGTCAAATAAACAGCAGGGAAGGTGCCACTGGCACTGCCACCCCCTCACAGCACGAGTCATCATCCATCTTTTTATGGCCTCCCTCCCCTCGAGCTAATGGCGCACTTAGTCCTCAAACAAGGTAACGGGAAAATATAACACTGGACAGGAAGATATTTCAGGAAGGGAACACAAGGAAATAGATTATTTCAAAAGAAGTATCAGCCGAAGGAAAGAGCCTTCGGGGGTTCCACTTATTGAGTTTATTATCCATAAATCTATCAGAAAATTGCCATTAAAGGCAGCGAATTGGGAGAAATTGGTTGGGTTTAACTCAGAAATATGTCACGGAGCAAGATGTCAAGAGATATGACTTAAGGCAGATTTTTCGACATAATTGAGCTTGGACATTATTTGAGGCGGATAATGAAATGATGAGTGGACTTGGGAAAGCTGTTTGGGATATCTTTATATCATTAAGGAAAGATTTAAAGGGGGGAAAAAGCGAATACTTTTCAGTGGATTCGTGAAATATTTAAATAGTTTCAAGCTAAATATCCCCAGAGCTAAAGTTGAACATCCTGAAGGGGATATTAGAAAACCTGGAGAAGTATTTAAAATGGTAAGACCTGGACCCACAAAAGGAAGATTTAGATTGCTCACTTAAAGCAAAACAATTCCCCAAGCTATTACAGAAACTATCAATGGCAATAGTTTACACCTATCCTCCTTGCAGAGTGGTCCTTATAAAGGGATACAAATAAATCTAAGGGCAGAGTTGAAGAGAGAGAGAGCTTCTCCTGCGCCCCAAGCAATCATCATAATTTATTCAGCATTCGACATCACCAATCGCATTCCCTGGATGCGCTTTCCTTTCCCCAACTTTCCTTTAGGCTGCTTTACGACTCTTTTACACAGCTTGTCACGACAAAATACTTTCTAATCCGCACATCCGCCTCAATGACAATCTGCTGCAATCTGGTTCCCCATCCAATCCCCAGGCCACAGAACAAATTGCAATACAATTTGCAGTGTCCACTAAGCCGGATCCGCCTCTCCTGGCGCACCGCCTCCTCCCATCCTCCCATCCACCCATAAACAACGGAAAACACTCGAAAAATTCCAGCAACAAATTGCATGGATTTGCGCTTCAAAAATGCCTCTCTCCCTTGGAGGCATGCAACGCTCTGTGTGTCCTCTGTGCTGCGTTGTGCTGTGCCGTGCCTCCTCCTCACCTGTCGTTTGCCCTTTGCCCTGCTCGGCACCTCTTTCAGCTGCATAAAATTTATGTAGATACAAAACTGCAATTCAAAGAGCGAGCGAATCGCCAGTGAGAGAGAGTGCGAGTGAGAGCAGCGAACAGAGAGCTTGCAGGGAAAAAGTTCAACTTGTTTTTCTCTGACATTTTCATTGAGGAAAATGCTACAAAATGAAAATGAGCTGGCCTAGGTCCTGGGTCCTGGCCAGGACTGAGCTCGAATCCGTAGTCGAACTCCGAACCTGGCTAAAAGCATATGGAGTAACTTTATTGTTTTTACATTTGATTTTTTATGGGTGCGAGGGGTGGGTGCTGGGGTGTTGCACTGGCTGGGGGCAAAGTGCACGCCGCATAAATTCAGCTCCGAGAGAGAGAAAGAGAGAGAGAGAGAGAGCGAAGCGACTGTCCGCGTCGCTTGGAAAAGTCTATATATCATATATGCCCACATGCTATACTGTATAGGGGAAGGGTGTCTCTCGAGGGGGTGGATTTGAGCACTGGAAACACGAAACGCAACGCTGCCGACTGGAAACCACCCTCGAAGCTGGAGGCCGCACGACTTATACACAGCGCAAAAATCTGCTCTACAAAATTTCCACAAAACGGGACACAAAACACCCGAAATCGCAGCGAGAGGGACAGAGAGAGATGTATACATAGCCAGGGAGGGAGTGAGATGGGGCGAGAGAAAAACCATCCCTAAGAATTGGGGGAGATATATTTTGCAATTGGAGTGCGCGCGCAACCCTCGGAAAGATGATGACGAAAGCGACAGCCGACAGCCGACAACCGACGAGGACCAAGGGACCGACCGACCGAGACGATGGTGACCGCTTCCCGGGGTTGCCTTTCAGTCAACTTTGGGTTTTCGTGCGTGCAATTTCTCCCGGCACCATGACGGATCACGGACCGAAAATCAACTCAAGAAATCTAACATTTTGGATAGCCCTCTCTATAAAACCCAAAGCCCCTCTCCACACACAACAACCAAACCAAACCAAAACCCGACAAAAAAACAGTGTCTTCTAGCAAGTGAAAAAGTGGCAAAGATCTGTTCAAATCTATGTGGAAATGCATATAGAAGATACATATATATCGAATTACATACGGCGTCGGATCGGAGCAGATGAGAGGGCGCTTGCCATTGATATTGTCCTGTCACAGCAGTATTGTAACTTAATTATAGCCTACTGCTGGGTCGGGGCATTAACATTGTTGAGCGCCATTGGCAACAAAGAGCTACAAAGCTACGGAAAAATGCTACAGAAAACCCCTAAGCGAGACTCGCATGAAAGAGACTTTCTTTCTTTCCGGCTTGATGGGAATCCTTCAGTCCACACACACACACACAGGCTGGCAGAGCTGTATGTATCTGTGTGTGTGTGTGTATATGAACAACCGGAAAAATCAATTTTCCATTTTTAATTCAAAGCTCAAACTATACACACACATACGGACGCGGAGAGAGCGCGAGCGAGAGAGATGAGAGGAGATGAGATGAGAAAGAGAGAGGCACGTTTGATATCTGGCCAAAAGGGATAAGGGGCATAAGGATGCTGTAGCATCTGCAGTGAGAGCGAAAGAGCAGTCTGCTAAGAGAGAGGGAGAGAGACAGAGAGAGAGTGAAAGAGATGGCAAGCTAGTGATACAGAGAGCAGAGAGAGTTTTCTCAAAAAGAGAAGAGAGAGAGAGAGAGAGAGAATCCGTGTGTAGACAAAAGCTGGATGAAACATTTTGAAATGAAACACGAAACTTTCAGGACAGGAAAAATCAAGGAAAAAC